CCCATAAGGGTTTATATCAATATACAAGACTACCATCTGGGGTATTGTCAGCCATTTCAGTTTTGCAGTGAACGATAGAGAATATTTTGAAAACTCTAGCTCAGGTTGCCATTTACCTGGATGATGTCCTGAATACAGGTAAAACTAATAAGGATTGCTTAGAGAACTTGGATATAGTACTGAAGCATTTTTCCAATGCAGGCCTATGCCTAAGAAGGGAAAAATGTGCGTTCCAGGACTCCCAAGTGACTGACTTGGGCTACAGAGTTGACAAGAGTTGGAAGGATTAAATGTGCCCCAGCTCCCTCGTCTGTTCAGGAGCGTAGGTCATTTCTTGGGCTGGTAAATTATCATGGAAAGTTCATATATAATCTGGCCTCCAGCCTGGCACCTTTGTATCAAATTGTAAAAAAGGGTTAGCCTTGGAAATGGTTGCAAAGACAAGCCCTAGCTTTCAATGAAGTAAAGAAACAGCCATCATCCTCTAAGGTGTTGGCACTCTATGATCTCAAGCAAGATCTGGTATTGACATGCGATGTTGCCTCATACGGCATCATGGTGGTATTAGGGTGGCCCAGTGGAGTGGAATGGCCGATAGCGTATACATCCAGGACTTTGGCTAATGCAGAACATAAATATGTCCAGTTAGAGGTGAAACATAGAAAAATAGAAGATAGGGGCAGGAGGAGGCCATTTGGCCCTTCGAGCCTGCTCCACCATTCACCGTGATCATGGCTGAGTGTCCTGCTCAATAGCCTAATCCTGTTTTCTCCCCATAATTGTTGATCCCATTCACCCAAAGTGCTATATCTAACTGCCTCTTGAATACTGTCAATGCCTTGGCATCAACTACTTCCTGTGGTACTGAATTCCACAGGCTCACCACCCTTTGGGTGAAGAAATATCTACTCATCTCAGTCCTAAATGGTCTACCCTGAATTCTCAGAATGTGACCCCTGGTTCTGGACATACCCACCATTGGGAACATCCACCCAGCATCTACCCTGGCTAGAATTTGCCAGTCATATTTGGAATCAGGAAGTTCCATGAAAATTTGTGATAATCATGAACCACATACCACGACTTTGCCTGCTTAAAGACGACAAGGCAGTGCTGTCCATAGCTTCAGGCTGCATTCAGCAGTAGGCTCTCATACTAAGTGCTTATAACTAGAAATTAGATCACTGTCTGGTAGGCTGAGTAGCAAATGCATTGAGCCACCTGCCACTGGCAGATATACCATTGGTGGTACCTCCAATGGAACAGTTTGTAATGATATTAAATTTTCTGGAGACATTCCCTGTCACAGCCTACAATATCAGAGTTTGGCCGCAGAAAGATCCAGTCCTTTCAAAACTGAAACAACTATTACTAATGGGGGAAACCAAAGGGCCATCACAATTAGAATTGAAATTGAATTTTGGACCCAGACAGACTAGCTCACAGTAGACTTTTCCCTATTGTTACAGGGAAAAAGAGTGCTTGTCCTGGGCAAAGGTTGCCACCAAATACTGGCTCAACACAACCAAGGCCATCCAGGGGTCTCCAAAATAAAGATGCATTGGTGAGAAATTATGTCAGGTGGCCAGGATTGGACGCAGACATAGCCGCATTGGTCGGACAGTACCCAGAGTGCCAACAAAAATTACTACCAGCAGTACCCTTACATCTGTGGGAATGACCGGGTAAACCTTGGACTCAGTTGCACGTCGACAATGCAGGTCCTTTCATGGGTTCAATGTTCTTAGCCATTGTAGATGCTCACTGGACATATTTAGACATCCATAGGGTTCATTCGTCAAACACAGGGATGACATTAGAAAAACTGAGTGCATCTTTTTCAGCACACAGAGCCTAGGAAGTGTTGATCAGAGGTAATGGGTCATCATTTACCAGCAGAGAATTTGGGTATTTCCTAAGGTTGAATGGGATTCAACGTATAAGGACAACTTCATGCCAGCCAGCATCCAATGGCCTGGCAGAAAGAACAGTTAAATTTGAAGGCTGGCTTGAAGAAATAGCCCACAGCCTCACTAGGGACCAAACTGCAGTTCTTATTTGATTATAGAACAACCTCACATGCAACTGCAAGGAGAGAACTGGCAGAGTTGCTAATGGGTAGAAGACTCCCATACCAGGTTGAGTCTGATCTACCTGGACCCTGGGATGGTGGGGGCTGAAACGGCATCAGGAGAGGCCAATGCCAGACACAAGATTCTGCAAAGCAAGAGAGTCAGTTTGATACAGGGGATGAAGTTTGGTGTAAGAATCATGGAAATGGCCCTGCATGGATAAGACGCATGGTCAACACAAGGTCTTGACCAGTAACCTATAAAATTTGGGTGGATGCAATGGTCCTGAACAAACACGTATGACCATATGAAAGCTGCAACTTCACAAACGATGCAGGAGCAAAAAGTGCCCTCCCTCTCAGAATAATAGGAACGGCTGCTGGAACCCATGACTTCACACTCTCTGCCAAGCGTTGTCAAGTCTTTCAAAATCTGAGATGGACATGACAGATGTAGCCACCCAACACCTTTACCACCAGAACAGAGTGAAATTCTACTGTGGTGCTAGTTTCTCTGCCTCAAACTGAATTTAAAATTCTCATATGCAATGATCACTCTTTCTTAGAGGTTCCTTTATTATGAAGTCATTAATTAATCCAATATCATTGCACAATACCAAACCCTAAATAGCCTGCTCCCTGGTTGGTTCCACAACATTTTGCTCCAAGATTCAATCTCAAGTACATTCAATGAAATGTTCCTCGAGGCTACCCTTGCCACTTTGTATAATCTAGTCAATATACAATTCCAAATGCATATGTCCAAACAAGACTTGGACAATATCCAGGCTTGGACTGAAAAGTGGGAAGTAATATTCATACCACACAAACGCCAGGCAATTACAATCTCCAAGAAACAATCTAACTACTGCCCTTTGACATTCAATGGTATCACCAACACAGAATCCCCCACTATCAATATTGTGGGGGTTACCATTAACTAGAAACTCAACTGGAACTTGCCATGTAAATACAGTGGTTACAAGAACAGGTCAAAGGCTTGGAATACAGCAGCAGGTGACTCACCTCTTGACTCCTCAAAGCCTGTCCATCATTTGCAAGGCACAAATCAGGAAATGATGGAATACTCCTACTTGTTTGGGTGAGAATAGTTCCAGCAACACTCAATAAGTTTGACACCATCTGGGACAAAGCAGCCCATTTGATGAGCACCGCATCCACTGATATTCAACTGTTTGTACCATCTACATGATGCACTGAAGAAATTCTCCAGACCTCCTCAGACAGTACCTCCCAAACCCATTACCACTTCCATCTAGAAGGACAAGGGCAGCAAATAAATGGTAACACCACCAGCTGCAATTTACTTTCCAAGCCACTCACTATCCTGTCTTGGAAATATATTTCTGTTCCTTAACTGTTGCTGGGTCAAAATCCTGGAATTCCCTCCCCAGTGGCATTGTGGGTTGACCCACAGCACATGGACTGCAGTGGTTCAAGGAGAGAGCTCACTACCACCTTCTCAAGGACGTCTAGGGATAGGCAATACTTGCTGGCCCAGCCAACAATGCCCATGTCCCAGGAGTGAATAAAAAATACATGTTAAATTGTCCATGATTATTGCTGTACCTTTTATACAAGACAGTAATTCCTGGTTTATACTGTGTCCCACTGCAGACTACTGTTTGGGAACCCATAAATTACTCAGAATTTCCTTTGCTGTTACTTATTTCTGCCCAGACTGATTTTACATCTTGATCTCCAGTGCTGATATCATTTCTCTCGACTGTACTGATTTCTTCCTTTACTAGAAAAAGCTGCATGCCTAGAAGCTGCATCATCTGAGTAAATTTCTCCCTTCAAGAATTTCTGTAATATACATCCTCACAGAATGGTTCCAGATCAGAAAACAAAGTTTTAGCCCTTTGTATCTGCACTGGCTCTTCAAAGGAGAAATTTTCTTATTGGCTGTTCCTGGCCTTCTCCCATTAGCCTTGAACATTCTTTCTTTTCTGATAATAATCCAATTCCCTGTTAGCTGCCTCAATTGAACCTGCCCCCTTCCATTGCACTCTTTCGCACTGCATTCAGATCCTAACCTTGAGACAAGAAAACATTTTCCTCATGTCACTATTGATTCTTTTGGTCATTACCTTAAATCTATGCCTTCTCCCTCTTGATCCTTTTGCTAGTGGGAAAAGCTCCTTCCCCTATACTCATTCTAGTTCCTCATGATGTTGAATGCCTCTACCCACTCTCACCTTGACCTTCTTTAATCCAGAAAAACAGTGCCAAATTTCCTGCGTTATGGAAGTAACTGAAGCTTCTCATTCGTGGAATTATTTTCATGAATATTTTCTGTACCTTTTTTAATACCTTAACATCCTTCCTCATCTGTGGTTCTCAAAACTGTCACAGTCCTCCAATTAAGGCTAAACTATTTATATGTTCTATTTATGTTTATCATAATTTTCTTGCTTTGGTACTCTGGGCCTCTGTTAACAAAACATACAATGCTACATGACCATAAGACCATAAAAAATAGGAGCACATGTAGGCCATTCAGCCCACCGAGTCTGTTCTACCAATTAATGAAATCATGGATGATCTGATAATCCTTAATCTCTACTTTAAACCCATGTGTATGTCCTAATCATTGATTGCACATTCTGTACTTCTTTAATGGAAAGTAAAAAATTCGATATATTTAATTTCTTTATTTGTCTGTAAGAATGTATCAATGTGATTGACTGCTCATCTGCTTGATGACATCACTAATGCTGAACACCTGAAAAAATCCCTTACAATTGTCAAATTCAAACTATGCCACAGAGCTTGCTTGGTCTTTGTGGACAGCTTTTTATGAAGTCATTGGTGAGTGTATCGCTTCACTACTGACTACAAAATCCAATCAATGGTATTTCTTCCCTTGATTCCCAGGTTCTAGCCTGTGCTTACTCTTCTGCAGGTGACCACATTGCAGGGATGTTAGCAGTTGCTGTGGCTTCTAGTCGGACCCTAGAAGTGGTGGACCTGGAGGGGACAGGCCTTACGAATCAGTCAGCTCAGGTATGCAGGCACTTGTGTTCATTCAGTAATTGTATGCAAGATATAAATGAGCTGTTTATTCAACCTTGCCTCTTCCCTATGCATAGGAAGAATGTCAAGCACCGTTTAAATTAGAATTACACTTTTTAATGCCCTTTACTCAGTGGAAACATGGGTAACTGCTGGAACTTCTCACCTGACAGCTGGGTGTTTCCAAGTAATGCTAATGGTGACACAGATGTACCTTCATTACTTATCCACTCAGAGTTTTCATGACATAGATAAATATTCTAAGCACAGAATTATACAGTTCATTCAATATTTTTGGGTCATGCCTGGACACTTGCCATTTTAATTCAGCCTCTAAATAAGTTGTCATGAATATTTTGCCAATAGTTCTATATATCTTTTGCCGCCACAAACGGATTTCCTAAGAGAGTTTCCACATCTAAGGTGCTTGGAACACGTAAAGAGGTACCACAGGGATATCAGGAGGTAGATTCTGTGCACATAGTAAGCAAATTCAATGTGAGGACACTGTGCCAAAGTGTGACGTAGATTGAATTTGAAGCTTGGAATTAGATTCCAGTAAGTTGCCAGTATCTGTAGAAAGTGTAAGTTCCATTCCAGAGTTCATGGCTAACTTAGAGAAAGCAATGAAAGTTTGAAGAGAGGAGAGTGATTCTGTGGGTTCAATGGATTAAAACCAATTCCAATTGCAATGTAAGAGGAATGAAGGACTGAAATTGGTGAGCATTTCCCTTCTCTCATCTAAACTAGACAATCTTAAAGGAATAACATTAACTGAAATATACAAACAAGTATGGCTGCAGGTATTAATTAAATTTCAATTCAAAAAGAATAAGGATGACAGAGCAGATGATGGGTTGCAGTTATGGAAAGTTATATTTGATGAACGACAGTTTGATCCACAACTACTCTCTCTAAGTATCTTCAGATTAAGAGCTTTGCTGAAAGCGAATAAACGGATGTCCCAACTTAAGGCACTGTGGTGTATCAGGGTGGGGAAATTTACCTGGACACGTTGCTCCTAAAGGAGCCGCACACTTTAGGCTTGGATTTTTTTATTTAGGTTGAAGAGGAGAAAGCTTACCCTTCAAATTGTCCAACAAATTTGAGGTTCTTGCAGCTTGAATTGATAAAAATAGGGCTGTAGAGTAGATGAGCAAATTGGCCATGGCCATTAGGAATGGAGTTCCAGGATTTTGATCCAGGAACACTGAAGGGATGGTAATAAATTTCCAGGTCAGGGTGGTGAGTGGCTTGGAGGGGAACTTGCAGGTAGTGGTATTCCCATGTATTTGCTGCCCTTGTACTTTTAAGCGATAGTGATCACATGGTTGGAAGTTGCAGTTAAAGGCATCTTATAGACATAGACTCTATTGCCACTGTGCTAGGTGCAAGGGATGAATGGTGAAGATGGTGGATCGGGTTCCATTAAACAGGACTCATTTGTTTTGGATGGTGTCATGCTTCCTGTGTGTTATTAGAGCTGCACTCCTCCAGGCAAGTGGGGCATATTTCCAGGAAAGAGAGGAGACTATGAGATGACAGGGAATGCATTACTTGCTGCAGGAGTCCTAGCCTCTAACCTGCTGTTGTATCCACAGTATTTATAAGGCTTGTTTAGTTCAGTTTCTGGTCAATAGTAAGCCTCACAGTATTGATAGTGTGGGAATTCAGTGATGGTAATGCCGCCGAATGTCAAGGGATGGTGGATGGATTGTCTCTAATTGGAGATTGACATTACCTGGCACTTGCCACTAATCAGCTGGATATTGTCCAGGTCTTGCTGCATAGACACAGATTTGATTGTATCTAAGACATCATGAATAGTGCTGAGTATTGTGCAATCATCAGCAAACCTCCCCACTTCGGTCCTTATAATGTTCATTACAGAAGCGGCTGAAGAGAGTTGGGCCAAGGTAGGGTTTCGTTTCCCCACATTCTCATTCCAGTTTTTCTCGGGCTCCTCGATACTTTGTTCAGTCAAATACCATATTGATGTCAAGGACAGTCACTCTTACCTCATCTCTGCCCTCACCTGTCAAAGGGACAGCGCTCCAAAAGGTTATGATTTCAAATAAACCTGGTATCTTGTGACTTCTGACTTTGTCCACCCCAGTCCAACAATGGTACCTTCACATCATTGCTCACCTCTGCAATCCAACAGGGACGGTAATTGCACAATGGTAATACCAGAACTCTAGGCCTACCATAGCAGATGGTGAAATTTAAATTCACTAAAGTCAGGAATTAAAAGGTAGTTTCATTTTACCAGGTAACCATTTAATTTTTTATTAAAGAACTAGTTCATTCATGTCCTACTCTCATTACCGAACCTGCACTACGTGCAATTAGATGTGTGGTTCACTCTTAACTGCTATCTGAATTGGCAGGGCATGGAAACAAATGCTAGTCATACCAGTGATGCCTACATTTTAAAAAATGGCCCTGTATCATCATTTGGGGCACTTTATAGTCTCATGATTTTCTTTCATGGAATGCAACTCTTTGTTGCAACAGATGTTTGCTTTATTTCAGTGTCCTGGATTTCTGCACCTGTCTGAGTATTTCTAAAAGCTATGAAGTTTTTAAAGCTATAAATGTTTAGGACTGCTCCTGGGTCCACTGTCATCTCACAGTAGTTACCTGGTAGTATGAGTCAACAGTACCTACCGCTGACCAACAGGTCATATTTGGTTTCAAGAGGTCAACCGCTGGCAGTCTGCAGTTGGGGTAGAGTGCTACCACTAACTGAGTTTTAACCAGAATGATTGCTTACCTTTAACCAGATGTCCTGTGGTGTAGTGGTAGTGTTCTCACCTGTGGACCAAAAGGTCCAGGATCTAATGGACGCAGAGATTGTGTAACAAATTATTTAAAAAATGTAAAAGAGGAAGTTTATTACATGTTAGCAATCAGGTACAAGTTTCTGTAGTAAGGTCATCCTTGTTACTGAGATAGGTAGGTATGATGTGATGGGCATCACGGAGACGTGGCTGCAAGGGGATCAGGATTGGGAACTGAATATTCAAGGATTTACATCCTATCGAAAAGATAGGCAGGTGGGCTGAGGGGGTGGGGTTGCCTTATTAGTAAGAAATGAAATTAAATCAATAGGAAGAAATGAAGTAGGGTCAGATAGTGTAGGATCTGTGTGGGTAGAATTGAGGAACCGCAAAGGTAAAAAAAAAACCATAGTTGGAATTGTGCACAGGCCTTCATACAGTAGTCAGGTACTGGGGCGCAAGATACACCAGAAGATAGAAAAGGTCTGCAAGAAAGGCAAAGTCACAGTGATCATGGGGGATTTCAATATGCCGGTGGACTGGGAAAATCATGTTGGTAGTGGATTGCAAGAAAAGGAGTTTGTGGATTGTCTACGAGATGGCTTTTTAGAGCAGCTCGTGGTGGAGCCCACAAGGGAACAGGCAATACTGCATTAGTGTTGTGCAATGAGGCAGTCTTGATAAGGGAGCTTAAGGTGAAGGAACCCTTAGGAGGCAGTGATCATAAGATGATAGAATTTACTCTGCAATTTGAGAGGGAGAAGATAGAATCAGAGGTAACGGTATTACAGCTGAATAAAGGCGACAACAGAGATATGAAGGAGGAGCTAGGCAGAATTGATTGGAAGAGGAGCCTAGCAGGAAAGACATCAGAACAGCAATGGCAGGAGTTTCTGGGAGTAATTCAGGAGACACAGCAAAAATTCATCCCTAGGAAAAAAAAGCGTGGTACAGGGAGGATGAGGCAACCATGGCTGACTAAGGAAGTCAGGGATAGCATAAAAGCAAAAGAGAAAGCATATAATGTGCTGAAGGCCAGTGGGAAACCACAGGACTGGGAAGCTTACAAAGACCAACAGAGGGCAACAAAGAAAGAAATAAGGAGGGAGAAGATTAAATATGAGGATAAACTAGCCAGTAATATAAATGAAGACTGGAAGAGTTTCTTTAGATATATAAAGAGCAAAAGAGAGGCAAACGTGGACACCGGACCACTGGAAAATGAAGGTGGAAAGATAGTAATGGGGAACAAGGAAATGGCTGAGGAACGGAATAATTACTTCGCGTCAGTCTTCACGGTGGAAGACATGAGTAATCTCCCAAAAATTCAAGAGAGTCGGGGGGCAGAGCTGAGTATGGTGGCCATCACCAAGGAAAAGGTGCAAGTAAAACTGATTGGCCTGAAGGCAGATAAATAAACTGGACCAGATGGACTACACCCCAGAGTTCTAAAGGACATAGCTGAAGAGATAGTGGAAGCATTAGTGGTGATCCTTCAGGAATCGCTAGAGTCAGGGAAGGTCCCAGAGGACTGGAAAATCGCTAACGTGACACCCCTGTTTAAAAAGGGAGTAAGGCAAAAGACGGAAAATTACAGGCCAATTAGCATAACCTCGCTCGTGGGTAAGATTTTGGAGTCCATTGTAAAGGATGAGATTTCTGAATATTTGGAAGTGTATGGGAAAATAGGGCAAAGTCATCATGGTTTCATCAAGGGGAGGTCATGGCTGATAAATCTGCTAGAATTCTTTGAGGAAGTAACGAGCAGTTTAGACCAAGGAGAGCCAATGGATGTTATCTACCTGGACTTCAAGAAGGCCTTTGACAAGGTGCCGCACAGGAGGCTGCTGAGTAAGATAAGGGCCCATGGTGTTAGAGGCAAGGTGCTAGCATGGACAGAAGATTGGCTGTCTGGCAGAAAGCAGAGAGTGGGGATAAAAAGGTCTTTCTCAGGTTGGCAGCCAGTGACAAGTGGTGTTCCGCAAGGGTCAGTGTTGGCCACAACTTTTCACTTTATACATTAATGATCTAGACGAAGGAACTGTGGGAACTCTGGCAAAGTTTGCAGACAATACAAAGATAGGTAGAGGGACAGGTAGTATTGAGGAGGTGGGGAGGCTGCAGAAGGATTTGGACAGGTTAGGAGAGTGGGCAAAGAAGTGGCAGATGGAGTACAACATGGGAAAGTGTGAGGTCATGCACTTTGGTAAGAAGAAGCATGGACTATTTTCTAAATGGGGAGAAAATTCAGAAGTCCGAAGTGCAAAGAGACTTGGGATTTCTAGTCCAGGATTCTCTCAACATAAACTTACAGGTTGAGTCAGTAGCCAGGAAGGCAAATGCAATGTTGGCTTTTATTTTGTGAGGACTTGAATATAAAAGTAGAGATGTACTACTGAGTCTTTATAAGGCTCTGGTCAGGCCGCATTTGGAGTATTGTGTGAAGTTTTGGGCCCCATATCTCAGGAAGGATGTACTGGCCTTGTAGTGGGTTCAGAGGAGGTTCACGAGAATGGTCCCAGGAATGGAAAGCTTAACATATGAGGAACGTTTGAGGACTCTGGGTCTATACTCATTGGAGCTTAGAAGGATGAGGGGGGATCTAATTGAAACTTACAGAATACTGAATGGCCTGGACAGAGTGGAGTTGGGAAGATGTTTTCATTTGTAGGAGAGATAAGGACCCGAGGGCACAGCCTTAGAGTAAAGGGAAAACCTATTAGAACTGAGATAAGGAGAAACTTCTTCAGCCAGAGAGTGGTGAATCTATGGAATTCACTGCCACAGAAGGCTGTGGAGGCCAGGTCATTGAGTACATTTAAGACTGAAATGGATAGGTTCTTGATTATCAAGGGGATCAAGAGTTACGGGGAGAAAGCAGGAGAATGGCGTTGAGGAACTTATCAGCCATGATTGAATGGCGGAGCAGACTCGATGGGCCAAATGGCCTAATTTCTGCTCCTATGTCTTAAGGCCTTATAAGGGGAGACCTGTGGATTTAGGTCACCAATCCACAAAGTCCTTCTCTGTTCTGCCAAGCCCACGTGACATCACTAAATTAAGAGGACCTTAATACAGTCTTCAACATTCACCCTTTTAGAACCAAAACCTGATACAAGAGGCACAGGCATGACAGCCTAATGATTGCCTCCTATGCTGTTATTCTTTGAACTAGAAAGAGCATTATTTAAACATTTTATGTTAATTTAAAACATTGATAAATATAAAGATTTAACAATATGGGGTATTTCAACTCAATGTTTCTTTTTGTGCCAGTAGAGATCCAACGGAATCTAAATCCACATTTTACAGCTGATTAGCTACGGTCGTTTGACTTAAATTCACACTTCAGAAATTCAACTCAGATAGTAAGTGAGGAATAATGGTATTCAGAACTATTCAGAAGAAGGATCACTGGATTCAAGATGTTCACTCTGTTTTCTTTCCACAGATGCTGCCCGACTGGCTGAGTTTCTCCAGCAATTTCTGTTTTTGTTTCAGATTTCCAGCATCCATTGTTCTTGGTTTTATTCACTCTGATCCCCAGTGCTTCTCAGGGTCTGGTTGAAACCTTCTAACCAATAGGGCCTGGTGGTACATACTTAGTGAGGCATTGAGATTGCTGCATGGTAGTGGGTATTGTTCATGATAAGTTTGGACTGCCATGTTATTTTGTAAAATATACAGTGATCTTCTCTACCAGATCAATAATTCTGAATTTGTTTTGTCCCTGTCAGATATTTCTGGACATGGTAGAGAATTATCCCACCTCAATACGGACTCTCATCCTAGCAGAAAATAATATCAGCTTGGAACTTCAGCAGCAAATCTCTGATCTACTTTCTGAGGGAGAGGAAGAGGAGGAAAATGAAAATGAAGGGCAAGAAGATGCAGGAAGACAGAAGGAAATCTGGATTGCTCAGAGCAGTGAGGAACTGTGTTTAAACGTGTCAGCTATTGTGGGTGTGGGGCAAAATAAGCCAAAGACCCTCTGTCATACATTACACATATCTCCGACATCAGAAGGAGTAGATGTAGCAGGCAGAATCTGAGTCCATCACAGGTGGGAATGGATTCTGATGAGTACTCAAGATGTCACTATTCTGCCTTGAATACTGGAGATAATGGTAATCCATTAGAGTCACTGCATTAGCTCAAAGAAAAACACTTTTGGACGTTTCTCAGAGACGCAGTTAGGTGCTAAATAAGTACAAATTATTCTTTTTTTAGTGGCCTAAGGTCGATACTGACAATTCAGCAGGTTTTCTACATATTCCTATCAATATTATTTTCCAGTCAGCTGCTCCCTCTGACTGCTTACTCTGTTTCTTCGTCTGTTTCTATTCCTGACTCTTCACTTTATTTCTTCCACTTACACAATCATCAGAACATAAGAAGGTAACAAATAACAGTAGACGGAAGCCATTTTGCCTGTCCATTCCATAGATTATGGCTGACCTTCCACAGGCCTCACTTCCTGTTTGGTGCCAGCTCTTTATAGCCCCCAATTCCCTGGTTTATCAAAAATCTATCAACCTCATCTTCAAATGTTTTCGGTGATCTCGCCTCCTCAACCATCTGGGATGGAGAATTCCAAATATTCACTACCCTCTAAGAGAAGAAATTTATTTACATCTCAGTTTTAAGTGTCTCTTTATTCTCTAACAATGCCCCAGTTTAAGTCTCCCCAACTAGTGGAACCATTTTCTCAACCTCTATCCAATCAAGGCCTTCGTCCCAATAATCAGCCTAGTGATTCCCTTTTGAACTGCCTCCAATTCTAGTCTAATTTTTCTTCAATACAGACACCAAAACTGGACACGGTTGTTCAGGTATGGTCTCACCAATACCCTGTACAGTTATAACAAGACTTCTTTTTTATTCATGCATGTACTGTGAGCGTCGTTGACTGGTCAGCAGTTATTGTCTGTCCCAATTGCCCATGAGAAGGTGGTGGTGAGCTACCTTCTGGAAATGCTGCAGTCCCTGTGTTGTAGATTGACCCACAATCCCCTTACGGGGGGAATCCCAGGATTTTGACACAGTGACACCAAAGGAGTAGACTGTTGGAATGGTAATCTGCCAGGTTGGATTTGTCCTGTTTTTTTGTGTGTACAGGACATACCTGGTCAATTTTCCAAATTGTTGTGTAGACAACAGTGTTGTAGCTACACTGAAACAGCTTGGCTAGGGGAGTGGCAAGTTCTGGAACACAAATCTTCAGTGTTCTTGCTGGAATGTTGTCAGGACCCTTAGTTTTTCAGTATCCAGTATCATTCCTTGATATCATGTGGAGTGAATCAAATTGGCTGAATACTGTCGTCTGTGATGCTGGGGACCACTGGAGGAGGCCAAGATATATCATCCACTCAGTACTTCTGGCTGAAGATTGCTGCAAAAGTTTCAGCCTTATCTCTTGCCTTGTTATGTAAACGGAAGAATAGTGGCTGAAGTGAAAGTCTTAGAGACGAAGCTGGGAAAATAATAATGGAGAGTCCGGAAGTGGGAGAGAAGTTGAACAAATACTTTGTATCAGTTTTCATACTAAATAACCAAGGGGCTAAAGTGGGGTAAGAAACATCACAATAACTACTTGAGAAGAAGCACAAGGAAAGCTAATGGGGCTGAAAGGTAATAAGTTGTCTTGACTTGATTTTAAAAGAAGTAGCCACAAATATAGTTGAAGTAATCTTCCTGGAATCCTTAGATTCTGGAAATGTCCCAGACCGTAGGAAAACTTCCAATGTAACATTTTCAAAATGGGCCGGAGATAAAAAAAAGTCACCAAGTAGCTTAACATCTGCCATTGGGGAAATGTTAGAGACAATTATAAAGCGTATAATAGCAGAGCATTTAGAAACGCATAATATGATCAAGATTCAGCCTGGCTGATGCAGGCAAAATCAAGTATGACAAATGTATTACAGTTCTTTGAGGAGATAATAAGCCAGGTCAAAAACAGGAAACAATAGATGCAGATATATATATATATAAAAAATCTGTATTTATGTATAAAGGTATTTGACAAGGTACCATATACAAAAGTACTTATTAAAGTAAGAGCACACGGGATGAAGGGTCTAGGCCCGAAACGTCAGCCTGTCTGCTCCTATGATGCTGCTTGGCCTGCTGTGTTCATCCAGCCCTGCACCTTGTTGTCTTGCACATGGGAGTAGGATGGATTGAAGACTGGCTAACTAATAAGAGACAGAGAGTTTGAATAAAGGGGGCATTTTCAGGATGGCAATCTACGACAAATGCACTGGTGGCACAGGGATCAGCACTGGGGCCACAATTATTTACAATAAATATAAATGATTTTGATGACAGACGTGAATGTACTCTAGTTTGAAGATGACAGAAAAATAGATGGGAGGGCAACTAGTGAGGATGACTTAAGAAGTCTACAGAAGGATATAGACAGGTTAAGTGATTGGGCAAAATCATTATGGGTGGAATATAATGGGAAAAGGTGATATTCTGCACTTTGGCAGGAAAAAGAGCTGAATGTTATCAAAATGGGGAAAGGAAAGAAGAAAGCTGTAGCACTGAAGGATTTGGGGGCTCAGTACATTAATCACATAAAGCTACAACCCAAGTTCAGAGGATAGCAGGGAAGGCAAATGGAATATTGACCTTTATCTTAAAGGAAATGGAGTAATAAAAATAGGGAGGTTTTGCTAAAACTATACAAGATGTTGTTCAGACCACAGCTGCAATACTGTGAACAGTCTTAGTCCACTTGGTCTAAGGAAAGACATACCAGCTTTGGAGGAAGTCCAGAGAGTGTTCATTAGGTTTAATCAGAATCGGAGGAATGAGGAGAGGTTATTAGAAGAAGGTCATTAGAGATTAGAAGAATCAAAGGAGACTCTATTGAAACATTTCAGATTCTCGGGAGTGGGGAGGAGGTTTGATACAGTGGATGTGAAAAGGTAGTGTCCCCTTGTAAGAGACTCTAGGACCAGAGGGCATCATCTTAGAATAGGGAGTCAAGCATTTAAGCCAGAGATGACGAGGAATTATAGAGTCATAGAGCTGTACAACATGGAAACAGACCCTTTGGTCCAACTCGTCCATGCCGACCAGATATCCTAAATTAATCTAGTCCCATTTTCTAGCATTTGGCCCATACTCCTCTAAACCCTTTCTATTCATATACCCATGTAGATGCCTTTAAAATGTTGTAATTGTACCAGCCTCCACCACTTCTTCTGGCAGCTCATTCCATACACGCACCACCCGCTGCATGAAAAAGTAGCCGCTTCAGTCCCTTTTAAATCTTTCCCCTCTCACTTTAAACCTATGCCCTCTAGTTTTGGACTCCCCCACTCCTGATGATTTTATAAATCTCTATAAGGTCACTCCTCAGACTCCAACGCTCCAGGGAAAATAGCCCCGGTCTATTCAGCCTCTCCCTATAGCTCAAACACTCCAACTCTGGCACTATCTTTGTAAATCTTTTCTGAATGCTTTCAAGTTTCACAACATCCCTCCTATTGCAGGGAGACCAGAACTGCACGCAATATTCCAAACTAATTAGAGTTCAAATCCTAGTGATGAAATTGAAAAGAAATTTAATCTGGAAATGAAAATGTTGGCATCAATAAAGTGTCTGTGAAACTAATGAATTAGAGTATAAACCAATTTAGTTCATTATTGTCTTTTAAGAAAGGAAACATCCACTGTTCCCCAGGCAAGCCTACACATGGCTTAAGACTCATACTAATGTAGCTGACTCCTAACCTCTGCAGTATCCTATTAGTTGCATTAAACGACTACCACTTGCTCAAGACAGTTGCCACCTCTGCTTTCTCAGCGCAACTAGGAATGACCAATAAATACTAACATGGCCAACAATTTCCTCATTGCAAATTTTTTTTTAAATTACATAGGTCAGCACTTTTTATTTCCTTAGTTCTTTACAATCAGGTAAACTGGTTTCCCAGTGTTTTAGGATGCAGCAGCTGCTACTAGTATATACGTAGATTGCAAGGAAAGACAAACACAAAGACCTCAAAATTGGGGCTCTTTCACTAGAACAATGCAGATTCTAATACTCCGCTGGCCAGCCTTGAGTTTTCTACCTATCCTAACTTGTGTCAAAATCCTAATTATCTATCATTAGTGTCATTGCTGACTGTCGTGGATTCCCAGTTCAACAAAGATCTAACTTTAAAATTTTCATTAGAGCCTTCAAATGGCCTTACTCCCTTCCCCATCTTTCTAACTTACTCCAGCCATACAACCTGTCTAGAATGCTTTGTATTCTGTCAGAGGATGGTGAAACTGTGGAATTCTTTACCAAAGAGGGCTGTTGACAATGGATTGTTAGTGTATTCAAGGCTGAGCTAGGTAGATTTCTAATCATTAAGGGAATCAAAGGTTATGGAGATAAGTCAGCAAACTGGAATTGATGATTGTCAGATCAGCCATGATCTTATGGAATGACAGAGGAGACTTGATGAGTCAAATGACCTATTTCTGCTCATATGTCTTATGGCCTTTTTGTCTAAATAAGAAAAGCTGTGGGAAAATGTACAAATAGAATAAAAAAGAAGCATATTATCTTAAAGGTGAGAGATTGCAGAGCTCTGAGATACCAAGGGATCTGGATTTCCCCATGTTGAATTGCAAAAAGTTAATGTTCAGGGAAGGCAAGTATTTAGTATAGCTAATAGAATGTTATAATTTATCATGAGGGGAATTGAATACAAAACTAGGGTGGTTATCATTAAGGTGTAAAATGAATAGTTGTGGTCCCAACACGACCCCTGTGGAACTCTATGAGTCACCAGCTGCCACATCTACCCTGTCAAGACCCTGTACAGAGCAGTGATGAGACTGCATAGAGTCAAGGAGTCATACAGCACGGAAATAGGCCCTTCGGACCAGCTCATCAGCACCGACCAGACATCCAAATCTGACCAAGTCTCATTTGACAACATTTGGCCCATATCCCTCTAAACCCTTCCTATTCATATAAACATCCAAATAGGTCCTTTTTAAATCTTTTCCCTCTCATCTTAAACCTATGCCCTCTTGATTTGGACTCCCCAATCCTAGGAAGAAGACTTTGGCTATTCACTCTATTCATGCCCCTTGTGATTTTATAAGCGTCTATATGGTCACCCCTCAACCTCAGACGCTCCAGGGAAAAAAACCCAGTCTATTTTTCCTCTCCTCATAAGTCATAAAACCCTCCAGTCCCGACAACATCTTTGTAAATCTTTTCTGCACCCTCTCAAGTTTAACAAGATCTAAAATCTGTTTCAGTGTGGCATTATATTTCCCTTGGAAGTCAATGGGGATGGGTGGTACATTTCACTGGCTGGATTTATAGACCAATCACCTAAAAGGATGGCTATAGCTAGAGACCAATCAACTTTGGACTACTGTGCACAATATTAGTCACCTAATTTAAGGAAGGATATAAATGTATTGGGGGTAGTTCAGAGAAAGTTTGCAATACTATTTTCACAAATGATCAAGTTGTCTTATGAGGGATGTTTGGACAGGCCAGACATATATCTGCTGGAGTTCAGAACATTAAGAAGTGACTTGATTAAAACATATAAAATCCTGAAGGGTCTTGACAGGGTAGATGTGGCAGCTGGTGACTCATAGAGTTCCACAGGGGTCGGAGTTGGGACCACAACTATTCATATTACATATTAATGATCCGAATGAAGGAACTGCGGGCATTGTTGCTAATTTTGCAAATGACACAAAACAGGTAGTGTTGAGGAAGCAGGGAGGCTGCAGAAGGACGTGGACACACTTGCCAAGTGGGAAATGGAATACAATGTGTGAAAGTGTGAGGTTGTACATTTTGGTAGAAAAACGTAGAGGTGTAGACTATTTTCTAAACGGGGAAAGTCTTTGGAAATTGAAAGCACAAAGGGATTTCAGAGCCCTAGTTCAAGATTCTCTTAAGGTTAACATGCAGGTTTAATTGGCAGTAAGGAAGGCAAATGCAATGCAAGCAATTATTTCCAGACAGCTAGAAACCAAGAGCAGAGAGGTACTGCTGAGGCTCTACAAGGCTCTGGTCAGACCATATTTGGAATATTGTGAGCAATTTTGGGCCCTGTATCCAAGGAAGCATGTGCTGGCATTGGAGGGAGTCCAGAGGGGTTCAAAAGAATGATCATGGGATGAAGAGCTCGTCATATGCAGAGTGGTTGAGGACTCTGGGTCTTTGCTGGATGGAGTTTAGAAGGAGGTGGGGAGATCTGATTGAAACTTACAGAATGGCCTGGATAGAGTGGACATGGAGATGTTTCCACTCGTAGGACCCGAGGGTATAGCATCAGAGTGAAGAGATGACCCTTTAGAACGGAGATAAAAAGGAATTTCTTCAGCCAGAGGGTGGTGAATCTGTGGAACTCATTGCTGCAGAGGTCCGTGGAGGACAAATCTTTGTGTTCAAGAGAGAGATAGATAGGTTCTTGATTAGTAAGGGTATCAAGGGTTCCAGGGTGAAGACAGGAGAATGGGCTTGAGAAACATATCAGCCATGATTAAATAGCAGAACAGATTCAATGGGCCAAATGGCCTAATTCTGCTCTTTAATCTTATGGTCTTTATTGTGCTTACTTGAGCACTGCCATGCTTTTTTTTACTGGCAGAGCATTTCACAAAGTGTGCATGCGCAGGACATTCCACATATACCATGTGAACCTTTAGGGGGTGTTAGGAGACACAGCCACTTTATTATTCATCTGAAACAAACTTGTATGGTTTAATGAAGCTGGCAGCCTGGCACTGACACTAAGGCTGCAATGCAGCAGGAAGTGCTCCCTTTAGTGTCAGAACACAGATAAATACAGTTGTGGAAAATTCAAAGAATAGGCTTCACTTAAAAATTCTGGGATGCCATTTTGGTTAGAGTTCTACTTTACTTGCTCTGACTACTGCTATCTGTCTCTCTACAGATCCAGAATCACAGGCTATCCTCATGTCAACACAACTTGAAGATTCATTGCTGGCAGAAACAGAAATGTGACAACACATGTTGTTGGATCCCTTCTGTCGTAGGCCATACTGCACTACCATTCACCCATGTCTTTAGGTGCTGCTGTTGGAACTGATTGAGAGCATATGTCTATAACCTTCGTTCATTTACAGCTAGAGCCCGTGTGTGACACTGACCCTAAAAGCACTGGAGGGGCACCTCCAATCACCTCACATCATGCCACTTTATATTTGTGTTTATTTATTTTTAACAACTTAATTTAGTCTATATCACAACAGTCACCGCACTAAAAATGTAATGAATTGTGTAAAGCACTGAGGGTTTTGATGTGATAATGCACTGTGTAAACAAAGTTATGAATGAATGTATTAAGAGCATGGACTCAATGCGTCAAGTGGCCTTTTTCTGCACCATCATGATTCTATGAAGCAGATTACAAAGGGGCCTGGCTTTAGCTCGGTTGTCTTTACTCAATTTGATAACTGTGCTGTCTTTGAAACAAGCAAGTCAGAAAAGCTCACAAAAGTTGTTGACTGGATTGGTAAAGTTCCTAATACTTATCTCTTACATTGACTTTGGATGAGCCAGAGTGACAATAGAACAAAGTGCATTAACTAGCAGGAAAATCAAATCCTTCTCATCCAACAAAGCTTATCTTTCCATCTCCAATATCATGTAGGTGACATACTGAATAAATAAACTTGATTCTTATAGAATTAACGGGAACTGCACCAGTAGTAGCAGAATAATATGGGCCTTTCATGAAACAGCAACCAGTGGACAAGCCACTCTAATGTTGTGCTGACTACAGTTGGCGGGAGGCTGGTTGTTCTGCAGGAAGTGATTCATCTCTTAGTTCCCCAAATCTTTAGCTCAAGTTCGGAATGTAATGAGAAGTCCCACACTGATATTTACTCAGTAGTTCCTCACTGGCATTACTCAGGAACCCCTCACTGGTAGTCTCAGGAGCTCCACACTAGCATGCAGATTTACCTCAAAGTTTATCTACTCCTTTTTGTTTTGGTCATCTTTTGGTTTTGAAACTTTCTTAATCCCGTGGCTTCCCACTAATCTTTGCCACATGTTACGTTTTCTCTTTCAATTTGATACAATTCTGAACTTCTCTGGTTAACCATGGATAGCTTATCCACTTCTTAGAATCTTTCCACCTCACTGGAAAATATCTTTGCTATGAGTCATGAACTATTTTCTTTAACATCCCCATTGTTCCTCAACCATTTTTGCTTCCTAAATCGTTCCCAGTCCACTCCAGCCAACCCTGCCCTCATTTCTTTGTAATTACCCTTGTTTAAGCTTAGCTTGTTTCTGACCCAAGTTTCTCCCTCTCAAACTGAATGCTAAATTCTACCATGTTATGATCTTTTAGAGTCACACAGTCACACAGCATGGAAACAGACACTTCGGCCAAACCAGCCCACACCAACCATATTCCTAAGCTACACCAGTTCCACCTACCTGCGCTTGGCCCATATCTCTCCAACCCTTTCCTATTCGTGAATTTACCCAAATGTCTTTTAAACATTGTAACTATACCTGCATCCACCACTATCTCCAGCAGTTCATTCCACTCACAAATCACTCTTTGTGTAAAAAAGTTGGGCCTCATGTCCTTTTTAAATCTTTCTCCTCTCATCTTAAAAAAAATGCCCCCTTGTTTTGAAAACGTTCCCACTTTAGAGAAAAGAACCTTCGCATTCACTTTATCTATGCACCTCATGATCTAATAAACTTTTATAATAAACCCTTCAACCTCCTATGCTCCAGTGAAAGACATCCTCATTTTCTGAAGAAGGGTCTAGGCCTGAAACGTCAGCTTTCCTGCTCCTCTGATGCTGCTTGGCCTGCTGTGTTCATCCAGCTCTACACCTTGTTATCCCAGCCTATGCAGCCTATTTTTATAACTGAAACCATCCATTCCCAGCAACATGCTTGTAAATATTTTCCGAACCCTCCCCAATTGAATAACATCCTTCCCATTAACAGGATAACCAGAACTGTACACAGTACTCCAGAAGAAGCCTCACCAACATCCCGTACAATCTCAACAAGATGTCCCAACTCCAATACTCAAAGGTCTGAACAATGAAGGCAAGCATGCATAATGCCTTCTTAACCACCCTGTCTACCTGTGACGCAAATTTCAAATTATGTACCTGAACCCCTAGATCTCTCTGTTCTATAACACAACCCAGGGTACTACTTTTAATTGTACAAGTCTTGTTCTTGTCTTCCAAAATACAATATTTCACATTTATCCAAATTAAACTCCATCTGCCACTCCTCAACCCATTGACCCAATTCATCAAAATCTCTTTGTGATCTTAGACTACATTCTTCACATTCCACTATACTATCAATTTTGGTGTCATCCACAAACTTACTAACCATGTCTTCTATATTAAGGTTGTAGATTTGCTCGCTGAGCCAATGTGTTTGATTGCAGTTTGATTACTCTGCTAGGTAACATCGTCAGTGCACCTCCGGTGAAGTTTCGGTGTTCTGCCCTGCTTGTTATTTATATGCCTCGGTTTGCTGGGGTGGTTGGCATTACTTTCGGTTCAGCTTTACCCACAACCAATAAAACTAATGTAATATACAAAATACCATGCAAAGACTGTGAGAAACATTACATGGCCAAACTGGAAGAAAACTGCCAATAAGGATACACAAACACCAACTAGCCACCAAGAGACACAATCAATTTTCACTGGTCTCAATACACACAGACAAAGAAGCACACAAATTTGACTGGGACAACACATCCATAATAGCACAAGCCAAACAGAGACATGCCAGGGAATTCCTGGAGGCCTGGCATTCCAACAGGAACTCCATCAACAAACACATTGAACTGGACCCGATACACAAACCACTGGAAAACAGAACCGGAAGTAATGCCAACCACCCCAGCAAACCGAGCCATATAAATAACAAGCGGGACAGAGCAACAGTGTTTCACCAGAGGTGCACTGACAATGTTCCCTGGCAGGGTGATGAAACGTCTGCAATCAAACACACCGGCTCGGTGAACAAGTCTACAACCTCATCCACAACCTGAGCTACAAATCTTCACAAAAACTTTAAATATGCCTCCTATATTTTCATCCAAATTGTTTCTATAAATGACAAACAAAAATGGACCTGGCACCAATCCCTGTGGAACACCACTGGTCGTGTGTCCAGTTAGAAAAACAACCCTCCACCATCACCCTCTGTCTTCTACCATCAATCCAATTTTGTATCCAATTGGCAAGCTCTTCTTGAATCCCATGTGATCTAACTTTACTAATTAGTCTACCATGAGGAACCTTGTCAAATGATAACATAGCATTGAGACCTATTTCTGGAGAAAGAATCCAGACAGATGGGTAAGGTGGCAGCAACCACAACACTGTATATTTTAAGTTTTTTTTATGGGAAAGGAGAAAGATGGTCTGCAAAAAAAAAATGGCTTGGATTGGGGGAAGGTGGGTTTTATTTAAATAAGGCAGTACCTGGCCAAAGAAGACTAAGAACAGCTACTTCTGGGTAAATCTACAGCAGAATAGTGAGGGGGAGGGCATTCAAATAGAAAACAGCAAGAGTACAGGCCCAACATGTTCCCTTTAGGGTGAAATTTGGAGCAACAAGCTGGATGTCTAGGAATATTCAGAACTGGCTAAGAAGGTACAGAGAAGATCTTACCAGGTACAAAGGGAGCAAATCAACAGAGGCTGTAGTGGAGTACAGAAAGTGCAGAGGATAACTTAAAGTAATTATCAGAGCAGAGACGGCATGAAAAATTACTGGCAAAAAATTTAGGGATAATCCTAAGATATTCTTTAAGTAAAAATGAGGGAAAGTGTAGGGCCCAATAGGGACCAAGGTGGCAATCTGTATGTGGAACTAAATGACATTGGTAAGATGAACAAATAGTTCACATCTATCATCACTTGGGAGAAGGAAGATGTAGGTACAGAATTTGGGAGGAGGGAGTGTGATGCTCCGGAGCAGATTGACGTAGGGAGTGAAGTGGTATTGGAGGTTTCAGTGGGTTTGAAACTGAAGAAATCCCCAGGTCCAGATGAGTTGTATCCCAGGCTGCTGTGAGAGAGGAGGGAGGAAAGTACAGGGGCTCTGTCCCAAATTTTTAATTCCTCTCTGGCCACAGGGGAGGTGCCAGAGGACTGGAGTTTAGTTACTGTATTTCCACTTCTCAAGAGGGTGGTAGAGACAAAGCAGAGAATTACAGACCAGTGAGTCTCAGGTAAGTGGTATGGGATCTATAAAGTATTTCTGATCATGTGAGGGTCATTCACCTTTACCGGTCACAACCATACTCACTTATTTATGGTCAAAGGCCTGGGCTTACCTTTATGAACTGACGGATGATGAATAATACAATCAATACAGGTTTCATATTTTTGAATAATGAAAGATGGTTAAATATATAGTGAATCTCAAAATGGTACAACTGATGCTAAACATCCTTATGACTAATTACAAAACAGTTGTTAAACTCCCAATGATTACCTTAGATCTGGTCAGGAGACAAAGGGTAACTCTCCATATGGTAGCAGGCTGAAGGTTCAGTAGGGGCCAGATGAAATGTCACATCTTCTCTGGGCAGCTTTCTAGGACCATACCTATTCTTTGGTATATACAGCTTTCTTCAATCCTGATTGTAGAGAGACAGTGGGAGCTGCCCTGCTGTCCAAATCTCGTAGCTGTCTGCTTCCATTTTTCTTCCATTTGACCCCACAGTTATATTGTTATCTGACTGATCACACCAGTCAGCAAAATCCAACAGACATTAACTCCATTGGTTCCCTGGACAGAAAGGTTTGTTTGAACATGTATCAGTTTTCATGCCCCACATCCAGCTGGTATTGTGGGAACAGGTGCTCTACTCCCAGCTCCAAAATAACAGGTGAGCCCCAGGTAGAGAAAGGAAACACTTCAGTGATAGCCTCAAGGCCTCACTGGCAATTTGCCACATGCCCCCAGGCACCTGGGAGTCATTGACCCAAGACCATCCAAAGTGGAGGAGGAGCATCTAGGAAGGTGTAGAGCACCTCGAGATTTGCCTTCAGGAAAATGCAGAAGCCAGGCAAAAACAACCTAAGGAGTGTTCTGCCACACCAACATCCCACCCATCCCTTCTTGCAACCACTTTCTGTCCCAAGTGTAACAGAGCCTGCAGAAGCCGCATTGATCTATACAGCTACCTATGGACTCACCCATAGAGTTGAAAAGAGCCATCCCCATCTGCAAGGGATCATCAATGACTGTGGGACAGTGGAAACTCCTGAGCTTGAATCTTGTACAATGTGTGAACTGCTTTCTGATAGGTTCTCCTTGATTATCAAACCAGTGAATACAAACTGTCTCCCTAGGCAGTGTGGAGCTGATGATAAGGTGGTCAACGTCTCTAAACTAAAACAAAGAACTGTGGATGCTGGAAATCTCAAACAAAAACAGAATTAGGAAGAGAAACTCAGCAGATCTGGCAGCATCTGTGGAGAGAAAACTGAGTTAATGTTTTGTGTCTAATTCTGAAGAAGGTTCACTGGACTCAAAATGTTAATGCTGTTTCTCTCTCCACAGATGCTGCTAGACCTGCTGAGTTTTTCCAGTGATTTCTGTTTTTGGACACGAATAAGAGGGATTCAGCACTGTTAACTGCATTGTTCTCATCTACACACTTGATCACGTCAAAAAATTCAATTAAATCTGATAGACATGACGTCCCTCTGACAAAGTCATGCTGACTATTCTGATCAAACTTTCCCTCTCAAAGGATGGATGATGCTTCAGAATTTTCTCCAATAGTTTTGAAGGATTATCATTTTAAAACCAATGTTTTTGCCAAGAATTATCACAGTTTTGGAAAAATGACATTGTTCAATATAGAGGCTGTTGATCCCTGAGACAAAAGCTTTTCCGTTATGCAACTGAAACCAATCCTCAACTTCCTGATCCACAGAACACAATCAGTAAGAATAAATGACAACACTTCCTCGACAATAATCCTCAACACTGGTGCCCCACAAGGCTGTATATTTTAGCCATTAGTATACACCTTATACACTCTCGACTGTATGGCCAAATTCTGCACCATCTCCATTTACAAATTTGCTGATTGACACCACCATAATGGGTCAGGTCTCAAACAACAATGAGACAGAGAGTAGGAAGGAGATAACTTAGCGGCATGGTGAAAAGACAACAATCTCTCAATGCCAGCAAAATGAAGCAGCTGGTCATCAACTTCAGGAAGTGGAGTGGAGGGCACATCCCTGTCTGTACCAATGGTGCTGAGGCAGAGATTATCAAGAGTTTCAAATTGGCAATTTCAGGCAATATGGCCCACACGCTTACACCCGTGGCACTTGGCTTCTCCAGTCCCCTCGTAACCCCCACTCCAGTCAACGTCCTTCCTCCTGACAAAAAACTGGGGCATTTGTACAGTTTGTGGGCAGGATTCCCCTCTTGTTGCCAGCTATTATGTTTGTGGTTCACTAGAACCATAAATAGAACATGAGGTAGATGGAGGGTAAACTTGGAACGGGGAACACTTTATTGTGTGTCTTCTCAGCTCCACAGTTGGTTTTCCTGCCCTAGCTCCTACCTGCCGGTCGCCCGACCCACTCTCTTAAAGGGGCAGCACACACCCAATTACATACATAACAGTCATGACCTGGCTGTTTCCAAAATATTACATCGGTGAGTTGTTCAAACAGTCCATGATACCAAAGGAAATGAGGAGAAACATTGTAGTTCATTCCCGATTGTTCTGTAACTAGGCCTCATACTCAGAATTAGGTAGGAAGTGGAAGAATCTACAAAAAAAAGGGAGATGATGTGGAAATTCAATTAAATGACACTATTTACAAAAACTTAAGCAAAAAGAATAATGTAAAAAGGAGGTTGACATGGTTAACTATTTTCTTCAGTAGAAATGTAATAGATGGTGCTCTGACCTACTGGAGTAGCACATCATAAATCAAGACCTGCTATTCTCAGAGCCAGACCAAAGGTTAACTTTTTTTTTAAAAGATATGCACAGTGTCCAAATTTACCTTTCAGACTAAAATTGACACTAAAGCTAGACTTCAGGAATAAACAAGAATTATTTTTATTATTACCTCAGCCAGTGCAGGAATTGAAACTATGTTGTTGGTATAACCCTACCTTGCAAACCAACCGTTCAGCCAACTGAACTAAACTAACCCTACATAATTAGATTATAGCTACAGGTAAAGAGATATAAACCATTGTCATTTAACTTTGTTAAAACACTAATCCCCTGATAAACTCCCCCTTATAGGCCAAGAAAAAGGGAAGCAAATAGATTATTGGTTAAGGTGGAAAAAACTGGAAAACCCATTCAATGCCCTTGTTTCCTGATTCTGATGTTTAGAGGATCCTTCTTCAGCTAGCCCCAGCTATAACACTGTGGTTCCAGTTCCAACCAGCTCAGTTAGCTGAGAACCAATCAGCTTCACATGTAAACAGCTCCTCAGCTCCTGATCATCATTGCAGAAACCCACAGCCACAAAAACAGAGTTCAGAAAAGTTAAAGAAACACATGCAGAGAGAGCAAAGGAAAGAAGCATGAGCAGTTATTCTTTCTAGCACAAGCTGCCTGTTCTCTGCAGTAAAAAAAAACCATGGTACAGCAACCCATTCGCATGAAGGGGCCAACTAGGAATGCAGTGATAGGAGGGGATAATGTAGTCAGCAAGATGAACATAATTCACTGCTGCACAAAACGTGCGTCCAAGTGGCAACGTAACCGAGCAGTGAAATGGGACAAAGGCAGACAAACAAGGAAGCTTAACAGAAGGAATTCTTACAAGTCCACCCAAACAACTATCAAACCAAACAGTAACCATCACCTTACAGACACTAGCATCGCTTCATCACTAAAAATAAAAACTGACAACGAGACAATTGAACATATCCTTAAAATCTGGATTGTTGATTTTTTGGAACTTTGTTTACCTTGTTTAGATTCTATTTCTATTCCTGGCATTTTGGTATCACCTGTCTTCGGTCTGTCTTAATTGTGACTGTGTTCATGTGTGTGCTTGGAGCTTTAAAGGGCTCCAAGTTAAATTACATAGGGCTGGGGTGGTGGGGGCACATCTCCAGGTATTTTGGAGGGTGTGAGGGTAGCATGTCTCTGGGTATTTTGAGGGGGCCATCGGCAGATATTTTGGGAGGGGGCACATCTCCGGGAATTTGGCAGTGGGGAGAGTGAAGAAGCAACACGCATGGTTTAATGTATCGACTGAGCTTTTAAGCATGATGGTGCTTATTTCAAACAAATAGAGAAGAGTCAGACAGAACATGTTAATGTGCACTCCTGGTAAGGGCAGGTCCAGAGCCTGGACTCTTTGTAGTATTGGCGAGGTGGCGGCAGCAGAGCCAGGGTCTTCTGGGGCATCAGTGTCATCGTCGTTGCTCTCAGATCGGGACTCCTTGAGGACTGGAACATCTTGCAGGGACCTTGCAAAAGCCCTGAAGCCATGCTTGAGACAACAACCGACCAGAATATGAACTTTTTTTTTTAAGTAATTCCTTTTTATCCTTATTGTACCTCAAAATGACACCAGACTGTGGTGTCAAAACACTTTTCACTGATTGTTCTTAGATGTGACAACAAAATCATTCATTCTAATCACTTTAGAGTAATTTACCCTAGTCACACAAGAACAACAAAGGACAAAGCAAATTACAGCACAGGAACAGGCCCTTCGGCCCTCCAAGCCTACACTGACATACTGCCCATCACAACTAAAACCCCCTACCCTCCTGGGGACTGTATCCCCTCTATTCCCATCCTATTCATGTATTTGTCAAGATGCCCTTTAAAAGTCAGTATCATATCTGCTTCCACTACCTCTCCGGGCAGCGAGTTCCAGGCACCCACCACCCTTTTTTTCAAAAACCTGCGTCGTACATCACCTTTAAACCTTGCCCCTCACACCTTAAAACTATGGACCCTGGTAACTGACTCTTCCACCCTGGGAAAAAGCTTCTGACTGTCCAGTCTGTCCATGCCCTTCATGATCTTGTAGACCTCTATCAGGTCGCCCCTCAACCTCCGTTGTTCCAGTGAGAACAACCCAAGTTTTGCCAATCTCTTCTCGTAGCTAATGCCCTCCATACCAGACAACATCCTGGTAAATCTTTTCTGTACCCTCTCCAAAGCCACCACATCCTTCTGGTAGTGTGGCAACCAGAATCGAACACAATATTCCAAATCTGGCCTAACTAAGGTTCTATAAAGCTGCAACATTATCTGCCAATTTTTAAACTCAATTCCCCAACCGATGAAGGCAAGCATGCCACATGCCTTGTTGACTACTTTCTCCACCTGCATTGCCACTTTCAGTGACCTGGGTACCTGTACACCCAGATCCCTCTGCCTATCAGTATTCTCAAGGGTTCTGCCACTTACTGTATATTTTCCATCTGGATTAGACCTTCCAAAATGCATTACCTCACATTTTTCTACAAATATTAGTATAAACTACTAAGTGTAAGGATTTATCCCAGGAACATTACTTCTGAAATGAATAAAAACTGAAAGAATTGCAGATGCTGCCAGACCTGCTGAGCTTTTCCAGCAACTTCTGTTTTTGCTTCTGAGATGAAAACCTGGGTCTGAACAGGGCAGTGATATTCATTATAATAGCTTTCCTGGGATTTTACAGATTTCAAAGGAAGACAGAGCTGAATGACATCTGCCAGCATTTTATTCAGCAATAAGTTTCTAGATTACATGGAGAAGCTGTGGTTAAGAAATACAACCTGAAAAACCTACATATGGGAGATTAGAAAAGGTGAAAAATCACAGATGGCAAACAATCAGTTGCGACAGTCACGACTGAATCTTATGAAGGATTGTCACTCAGGTGATTATAACTAGGGCTCATTTCAAATCGTTGTTGCAATTAGGACATTCATCAGAAGCAGTTTGCCATTTTGATATTTAACGCTTTCAGACTGCACACACAAAAATCGAAGTAAAATTCTAAAGTAAACTGAGCTGCAAATAAAGAGTCAGATACAGCTAAAATTTAACTTTAAAATACTTTATTTTGTTTAAAATATACATCCGTTCAGTCTTACAAATCGAGAAAATAAAATTAGTAAAAGTTTAACAGTCTTGTACAGAGAGATGAATCACTATGAAATTCGGCAACTCAGATTGTCCTTAAACAGCGGCTGAGAAATGTTTCGGAAGTACTACAATTGTTCATTTCATTCTCCATATAACTGAGAATGGTACACATATAAACAACTGTTAATCATAACACTTGGTTCACATTTTCAGTAATACTGAAAAACAAAGTCCTGTTCGGTTCTCAACTCCACAAAACCACCTTCAACCAGGAAGGTAGATGTCCAAACAGATCATCTGTCCCCTCAATTACAGATACGATGAAATATATCAACACTATTTTGAAGTTAATGAACCATTACACTTCAAAATAATTTGGAGAGAACCATTCTCGGTCAACATGAAGGAAATGAGCCTTCCAACTTTCTGAGGGAAACATGAATACACTGTATTGTATGTAGAATTTGAGACACAAAGTATTTGCATTAAGTAGTCACTTGGTCAATTTCATTTTTAAAGCTTTGTCAATTGTGCATGAAAAAGTAGACCTGGAAAAGCTGAAGAGACCTTGAAAGAAGTGTTTTGCTTCCTAGATAGCTAAACACAGTGTTACAGCCCAAATACTTGGGAATCAGCCTGTTGATCAATGAGCAAACTGCAGGATAAATCTGTCTCACTCCAAGCTCCTGCACGTGGCTGACTCAGCTGTTGGAGCAATATTTAATCTCTGAGCCATCAAGTCCCATTTAGTTCTTTACAAACAGTTTTGTACAAATATTTTCACTCCACTACAAATGATGGACAAATATACAACAGCCCATATTCTGGATTCAATACAAACTTTGTCCACACAGTAATCTCAGGTTAAATCCAGAAATATACATTAGTTAAATTATGGAACAGAATGCTAAACTACTCAGCAAGATTATGAACAAGCATTAAAAACAAATTATGACAACAGCAAATTAACACTGAAACTCAATACTTTTACATGAAAAAACAGTTTATGGGTTTGTCCCACAATTACAACACATCAAAAGCTACTTTATAACAAATAATTAAACGCAAACTGTTGAGACATGGCCCATAAGAAAAGCACAACCTGTTGCCAGGATCTTCTTGTGGTAAACTAGTGAATTTGTTATATTCTGTATTGTTATTAAGCCATTTTGACTAACCTTACAATTCCCAGCATAGATTGCCATGCAATTTCCTGATAGAACAGCTGGTGATTTGCATTTCAGTCATGGAGTTAACTGACAGCAAATTCCTGGCAATTATTCAGCTCCTTATTTGAAACTGTCTCCCATTTCTGAAGGAGGCTTGCCATTTCCAGTCACCCCAATGTTTTCACATAGGGTCAGCCAGTAAGTGGAAACTTGTACAGATAGCTTCATGAGACAGAATGAGGAGGCATACACAGCAGGCAAACCGCAGAGCATGCTACCAGAGTGCATGTAATTGACAGACACTTCAGAGTAAAGTTGAAACTTCAAACATGGTACAACTGAACAATTAGCCACAAAAAGCCTCAGTATAATTGGGACCATATCTTTAATCTGAGTCCCTTGTGAGCCAACATCCAATTACCTCAATATGTCCTGAAAAGGACATTCAGACATTGCAGACAGCACTGAGCAGATGGTGGTCATGAATCTAGGTGCTCAGTTCTGTCCTGTGTTCCACCCAAGCAGTCAAAGATGTGACGGATCAGGGGCACACAAGGGCTTCAAGAGTCATTAAAGTATTCCATAAACATGAGAGGTCTGGAGAAGAGAATTCAGCTATACAGGAAAGAGAGAATTTCAGCTGTAACCAGGAAACAAGCCCCAGCCAGAAGATTTCTTCTGCTCTACGGCCAGAAAAGACATTGCTGCTCATTAGGTGTTGGGAAACTTTTTGTAGCTTTAATACACACTAATTGTATGTGACAGGTGTCTGCCAGATCTATACACTGGTGACAACATTTTCATCAACTTTGATGACATCAAACTGACTGTTTTAAAATACTGAGAAAAACTAGCTGGAGGGCAGGCAGTGGCTATAGCTTTGATAATGACAAAATAAACGGCATAAAAACTGAAAGAACTGCGGATGCTGCAAATCAGAAACTGCAGGAAAAACTCAGCAGGTCTGGCAGCATGGACTTTTCTCCGCAATGAGGCTGCCAGACTTGTTGAGCTTTTCCAGCAATTTGCGACAATATTAACTGCTTTGCTTCAAGGCAGATTGGCTGTTTTTTGACAGGCATCAGATGGAGTTTTTAAGTAGCACTTTCAAAATTGGCCACAAAAGCTCTGGTGAGACAGGGATCACTGAACAGAAAATAAAAATAGTCCTCAAGTACATTGAGGTGATCGGGCTAACTGGTCTCACCACTCAGATAATCAAATCTGAAATACAGATTGGTGAACGTATGGCTCCCCATTCCAGCAGCTTGCCTTGATTAGTGCCAGGTTGCAGATGCAGAGCCAGTGGGGGTTAGAGTTGGTGCTGCAGAAGGGAGGAGCCAGTGAAACTGAGACAAGAAGCTCTTGTGGTTTGGAAGAAAAAGGGAAGAGAGGGGGCAAGAACTAAGGACTGAGCAAAAGTTGAGCGAATAAGCAGTAGAAATTACACAAATTGTGCTATTAAAATATTTGACCATACTCGTTAACATGTTACAAACTTGTCTATATTCCTCTAATAAACTGAAGTTCACATTAATTTCTAAATTGCCTATCATTAGTGTTGATTCGCTGACAACTGCTAATTAGTGTTGCATTTGGGTTCCTCCTGATACTGAGCACCATTACATTGTTCAGATTCAGTATTACTGTGGATCTTGAAACAACTCCATCTGTTTCCTTTTGTGATCTCTGAGCTGTGTTCAGTCATTTTGGAACTTTGCAGGACAGAAAAGGCCATTCAGCCCATTTTGTCTACACTAGCTCTTTATAAACAAGGTCCACGTTTCAATCAGTCAACACAGAATACCAACAAAACCAACCCTACACATGAATAGGGTTAAAAATGGATAGCGAAAATTCCCAAATTCTCCAAGTGAACATGTTCACAATGATAACACAAGTAGGTTAAAGTGATCAGCACAGCATGGCTCAGGGTTTGATAAAGTTGATGACTGATGGAGATACTCTACCTGCCCTGGCCTCCGAATACCGTACCTATCGCGTGGTGTTTGGTCCTCAAGTCAAAACATACAGTGGGAGGACACCAATTTATTCAGCAAAAAAGTGCAGATGCTGGATACAGAACACAATACAGAAAGAGCCTTAAATATGCTGCAGGAACATTTGTCAAGAGAATTAGAGTTAATATCTCAGGTTGGTGATGATCTTTCATCAGAAATCCAAAGTAATTCCAGCATTTGCTGTTTTCCAGTTCAATTTGCACCTTTGATATTACAATGTAAATCAAATCAGAAACTTTATATACATTTACAAAACCTAATGCTCTTTTAAATTTGCAATCTTCTACAGGAGAATTTCACAATGCATTAAAGGAACAAAAACTAAAAATAACAATATAACTGATGAGGTAAAACTTAAATCTCTACTTGGAAGGGTGAGGACACCACGCCAGTTCAAGAAGTAGCTTCACAAATTTAATGGGGAAATGCCTTCCGAAAAACACAAGATAATCTTATCTAACACACCTCAAAAGAAACTCCCAACGGAATTAAGCAGTTACTTGTGGAGCTCCATGGGAGGGAGTCATTAGTGTCATGGCAGGGGGAGAGATCCGGGGAGGGAGTCACTAATCTCAGAATGCGAGGGTCCAGGACCCCAGTGAGGGAGTTGCTAAATTCTGCCTGACCCAGGAATGGGTGGGGGGGGCGGGTGTGTTGCCACATCCCACAAGAGATGGTAGGTGATGCTGGCTGCTGGCACTGTGAATCTTTGCCAATGTAATTGCACACCGTGAGGTTTCGAAGGCACTAACTTGGTGAGAGTCAGTGCTGGGGTGGGCAGCATTTGTTCACTGTCTAACACTGTCCACCAAGACTCAGGATGAAGTTCATTTCTGCTTTAAACAAGAGACTACCTCAATATCAATTCATTGTGCTTAACTGGTCAGTATAAGACTGCTCAAACGTTTGGAGCTGTAATCTCCAGATTTATTAAATTCAAATAAAATTATTTCTGGTTGTGTCATGTACTGATCACATGGAAGCCAGCAATAAACTGGAGAATCTCCCAAAGTAGCCGGATTTTAAAAACATGTCAGAAATGACACATCAGATCAATCTCAGGAGTTATCATCTGTTAACGAAACTAGCACTAGCTTTCATCCAGATTCCCTTCATCAGGTATTTCATCTTCACAAAAACTGACGTAGATTATATGGAAGAAAATAAAAATGCAATGGTACCCCATACCATCCTAGAAAAGAAGTGTAAATCACTGAAAAGTCATCACGTGTGAGTGTACTCCTGCTGATCTATGAGCTTTGGTAATTAGCATCAGATGAAACACCACACAGTCAATGTCCAATATATTCTGCTGATTCACAGATTGAGAACTGGTATAGGTACACTGCAACAGCTGACCTTTCTATCCTTTCTCCTTTACAGTGAAGACTGAAACACCTAAATGTATCTGAGGAGAACCAGGAAGTTTGCTCTTGTTGCTCAATGGTAATGCCAGTGATAGCCAAACTCCGAAAGCTGACAGACAGCCATCAGCTTGCACTGACAGTCCATCACTGACAAAACAATTCTTGTGGAAGATCCAATTACTCAAACATCTCTCACAACATGCAAGAGAGATAGGAAACATTCCCCTGTACTGCCTGACACACAGACAGACAGAAACACACACACAAAAACACACACTGGCACGCGTGCGCACACACTGACATTCGCGCACACAGTCAGACACCAACACAGACAGACAGACACACACACACACACAAACACACACACACACACACACACACACACACACAGACAGAAACCAAACTAAAAACACCACATGCTGAAAATTCAACGACCATTGTCTGGCAGGAGTTCTGCTCAGAAATTTGGATTTCTTTTGGCAATGATTTAATTAATTACAAAACGGTTTTCTTAGAAAACACTGAAGTATTGCCTTTGAACCCGGGTTCTGCTAAAAAGTAGTAGCTGATTTCTATATTTTTGTTCACCTTTATGCAAGTTTCTCAGGAATACTTTGTGAATTTTCACTCAACAATTTGGAACTGCTGTGACTCTCAGTTTGACACTGCAGCAGCATAGATTTTGTATTTGCTAATCTGAATGAATTTAGTCAAGCAGGGTGCCCTGCTCCTGTGCCCTTGTTAAACTATCCTTTCGCAATAAGTGGTGGACACCCATCCTTTTGGGGCTCCTCTGTTGTCGTCCTGCTGATGTCACTGATGGCTTATTTCCAGTCTCTTCCAGTTCATCCAGCACGGTGGACTGGTTGCCATGAAGCAGCATCTCTCTCTCTTCCATTGAGCCACTTGCAGAGACAGTATCCCCATATTCAACCTGTTTGTGTAAAGGACTGGCTTGGCGAGTCAGTCGACTGCTACCTACAGCATGCAGTAGTTTCTCCTCTTCCTCATGAGAGAATTCGCTGCCATAATCCAGAAGGAATTTGCCTTTCCGCACTTTGGAATCTATGCTGTCTGTGTCTAAGCTGGAATCTTGACTTACTGTCCAGCTGTGGCTGTGACCAGATTCCTCCCCGTCTGAATAAGCCAGGCGCCTCTCTGCTAAGTCAATCTTGTTGCCCAGGCTATTCTGAAACTCTTGGATCATTTCACTGCTGAAAGATGTTCGATGGGCAATCACCCTTTCAGAAGCAGGGGCTACCTTTTCGACAAACATCCTCTGCCAGTTTGCAAGCAGATCCTCTTCAGAACTTGCTGAGCTGGCAAATGAACTTGAAACTTGAGGTGGGCTATTGAAAGGACTGGACTGGGTAGATCTAAGCTCACTTTCAGGGCCTCTGGGTGTGCCTGAACTTGGACATTGATACTGCCCACTATTTATCTGTCCTGACCTCCTTCCCTCTGATAATGGGCTGCTAGGTAGATTCCTCTGGCGTTCCAGACCATCCTCCTCTCCCTGGACCAGACTGAGTGATATGGCCTGCCTGGTAGCATATGTACAGTTTGGTAAGGGACTATCCTTTGGTATTTTAACCTTATCATCAGAAGAGAATTCAATTACAGCTTTACGTCCAGGGAAAAGATTCTGAGGCGGAGTAGGATATGGGTGAAGTTTCTCAAAGGTAGTCGTTTCATCTGGTGGACTGTCTGTGCTAACCAGCCTCTTGCACACACCATTCTGAGGCTTTACTCCTTCAGCTTTCACCCCATCTCCCTCTTTCCCTGAATTCTTCATACCATTAGTGTCACTGCTCATATCCACATGAACAAAGACATCTTCTGCCAATGGCTGATTGCCACTGCTGGACTTGGCAGAGTTCAGAACCAGTGGCTCTGGTTTCTCTAAAACTCTGGCAATGACAGAAGTAGGTACCACATCAGATGAACCAAGAGCTGAGCTTCGCTCATGTCCCTCCTCAACCTCTTCACTGGACTCCAGATGCTTGTTGACCATCTCCTGGAGTACAAAGGGAAGCTACAAGTGAAACAAAATCAACAGGAAATTTAGTCAGTTCATTTTCTCATCGAACCTGAGACCGCTCCACATTGTTTCCACATACAGGAAGCAGATGGCAACAGCACAAACATAGGCTGGGATGACACAACATAATACATTGTTTATTTCAGTCTTCAGGTAAGTATTTATTTTGCTGAATCAAAATTAAATACATTGTTTCTTTTTATGAGCTTTCCATATATAAAAAAAATCGATTTAAAGAATCTAGGATGGAAATTGTCAAGGTAACTCCTGAGAACTATTCAGTAACATAGCCCATGGAAAGATTGACAGATGTGGCTGGCAGACGAAAGCAGTATTGGCTTTCAAGGACACATGTGCTACTTGTTGGATGCGGGACAGATTAAGTTTAGAGTCTTTCATGTGAGTACCCAAATAGATGTTGCTTTTCCTCACAGACTAATCGATTGAGCATGTTTTAAAAGCTCTGAATGACCTATATGAAAGATTGTGTCCTTCTCTGTCAAATGTACAGGTGTTCTTAGATTATTAGAAGTTTAATTTTCATTTCCATGTAATGTACTGTCTGCCCGTGCCGAACCCCAGGCCTATGACAATGGAGTTGGTATAGAGGGTAGGAAGGAGAATGAATTAACATTCAGTTGGCAGGGTGGGAAGGTAGGAGGTGGGAAATGTGTGGAGACATGAATTGGCTTGCATGGTCTAAGGAACACAAAGAATTTTTCAGGCAGGGGGTGGGGGATGAACTGCCATGAGGGTTTGGGCATGAAGGGACCATGGGCTGAAAGCTGCTTCAGGTGCTGGGTGAGGGCTACACGGCCTATCAACCAGGAAGACAAATGGCATCAAGCTGCAGAGTACCATGGCTGGCTTTTGGCACTTGCTTCGCCTCTGCTTTCTCCGTGGGTGGACCCGCCCTCCTCCTGCCCCAGACCACAGGAGCCTTGGGACAGCTTCATAAGCTGGCTCCAGCAAGGATAGCCTCTTGGTGACAAACATCTGGGCCCCGGTAACAGTACACCCCCACCCTCCACGGTAACAGTACACCCGCACTCTCCCTGGTTACAGTACACCCCCACTGGTTGCAGAATTTTGGCAGTCCCTGTGCTTTTAAATTCAGGCTGTTATTACTCAAGCTTTGTTATTTAAAATGCGCTATAGATGTTGTCAAGTTGGGGTGTCTAAGATAGCTGCCCCTTCACAATAACAAGACAGTTTTAATTCCAAAGGTTATGATCTTGGCCAGCTGCAGAGCAGCTGTGTGTCTAGATGTCAGCCACATCATGCTAAAGAAAGGCAGCCCAAAGCTCAGACTCTTTCAGAACAGGCAGCAGCTTCTCTCCGTACTTACATCTGCAAACTTGTGGTTCCTGAAATGAGATTTGTTGCACTTTAGCAACTGAACAGCAAGGTTACAATCCTGGCGGTAACGCTCCTGTGGAGAGGAGAAAGTTCCATACAGTCAAGGTTTCGGTGAAGTGGTAATAAGACTGTTATGGGGGCCGGGGGGGCGGTGGCACCCATGAGCAACCAGAAGAAATCAAACTCAGACCATGTTTACAGGCCTAACAGTGGTTTTTCTCTTACTCAGACTGTGTGGTTTACTCAGCCATTTCAGAGGGCAGTGACAACTCATGCATGTACCTGTTGGTCTGCACTGTAGGGATTCCATGATTTCACGAACAAATTGTCTGACTTTGCCATTTCAACTGCTTGCTTGTTATCCCACCTGGTAAACCTGGTATCAGAATGTTTGGGACTGTTGCAGAGTCATTGTACATGTTATAGAACACAACACACCCATCAACCAGCCTTCTCAGACAACAGCTCCCAACCCACAATCTCCAACATCTTCAAATTCAAGGAACATGTCTTCCATCACATTCCTCTCCAGGTCACACACATCCAAGCAGGCCTTTCAGCCCTTTGTTCACTGGCTCCTTACCCCGGGGCAGGGGGGGGCTCCTTACCCCGGGGCAGGGGGGCCACCTTACCCCGGGGCAGGGGGGGGCCATCACCCCGGGCAGAGGGCCTGTTACTCCGGGGCAGGGGGTGGCTCCTTACCCCGGGGCAGGGCGGCTCGTTACCCCGGGGACAGAGCGGCAGCAGTGACTGGCCGCCTCATACCACTGCCCTCCCTGTACATGTACGCTAATTCGATAGAAGGCAGGGAATTCTGGGGCTTGGCCACAGTGAAAGTGAAGGTACAGCATTTGAGTTGAAAGTGACAATATTGTTTTGGTTTTAATCTGGAAAGTCAAGTTTACACCATCACCTCTAAGTTCCCTTTGAAACCGAATACAGAAATGGGGTGTTGCCCCTTTCCTCCAGGCTTACATTTAACTCCTCCAACTTGTTGATGGCAGTTTTTGAATCCAGCAGCTTGTTGGTCAGCTCCACAATCTCCCAGTCAAGGGTCTTCCTCTCCAGCTCAGCCTTTTTCACCTGGAAAAGTGGAACCCTTGTTAGATGAGGAAGGCAGCGCTACAGGTGGAGTTTCTTCAAGCAACGTGCAATGAGATCAGACTGCTAATGAAACGACGACAGCTACACCCCACCAGAACAGCAAAGTTGCTAAGGCACAAATGGCACTGCAATTACAGGAGAACAGAAACAAAAAAGATTTGAGCCGAAAACACTCCCGGAAGAGTGTGGGGAGGAGTGGAGAGCTGATAGCATAAGGCCATAAGAAATAGAGGCAGCCCATTCAGTAGAATCTTGGCTGCTCCAATATTCCTCACGCCCACTTCCCTGTCTTCTCCCCGTAACCCTTAATTCTCCCACTGATTATCTAGCTCTGGATCTAGAGCAAGGATGTAAGCAGGTGTATTGCTTCCACACCACACCTAGAAAGATTGGTTTCAAGTGAAGCTTGAATCGTTTGTGAACAGGACACCCTGACAGTTCCTACAACATACTCCGCCATGCTCCTGGCTCATTCGTTCTTAACGCAATCAGATGAACTAAAACCATGAATGGGATTAACCCTTCCTCAGACAGGGAGCCCACCAGGTAACAGGCATTCTCCTTTTCTACCTACGATCAATGGAGAAGTGGTTTCCTCTACTGGGCAACAGTGGACGTCAGACCTTCACAGAGCTGAACAGCCTGACAGTTGTGGTGTGGTGGGGGGGGTGGGGGGTCATAAACATCTCCAAAATACAGCGGTGGGGAGAGGAGAGATAACATGAGGGGGTAGGGATAGGGGGCACGGAGAGACTGCGAGAAGTGCGAGAGTCGGGTTGGGTATAAAGAGGGGTGTGAGTGGGGAGTTTAGTGAGTGGGAGAGCAGGAAGGTGACTGTGAAGAGGGTGATGAGTGCGAACAGTTGCGGTGGGGGGGGGGGGGGGGGGGGGGGGAGGTGGTGTGTGAGCAGGGAGGTGAGAATGAGTGGTATGAGTTTGAACAGGGAGATGAGTGTGAGCAGTGTGTGTGACCTACATGATTATGAGCGGGGAGTGAGTGTGAGCGGAGGGGCGAGGGCAAGCAGGGGGAGCGAGGGTGAGCATTGGGGTGGGCAGTGGGGGCGAGCCGGGGGGTCGAGGGAAAGTGGCGGGGCAAGGGCAAGCGGGGGCAGCATGGCGATCAGGGGGCGAGGGCAAGCGGTGGGGCAAGGTCAAGTGGGAGAGGGATGGCCAGGGCAAGCCAGCAGGGTAGGGATGGCCAGGGCGAGCGGGAGAGGGATGGCCAGGGCGAGCGGGAGAGGGACGGCGAGGGCAAGCGGGGGATGGATGGCCAAGGCGAGCGGGAGAGGGGCGGCAAGGGCGAGCGGGAGAGGGATTGCCAGGGCGAGCAGGGGTGGGCAGGGGAATGGCATGGGGGAGGGGGAGAGAGCCAGGAGCAAGGGCAAGCGGGGGGATGTGAGGGTGAGTGCAGTGTGGGTGAGGGCAAGTGGAGGGGTGGGCAGGGAGTGAGTGTAAGCAGAGTGAGTATGAGATGGAAGGTGAGCGTGGGCAGGAAGGTGAGCGTGGGCAGGGAGGTGAGCACGAGTGAGGGTGGGGGTTGGGGTGTGTGGGGTGTGAGCTGGGAGAGGAGCACAGGCGGGTTGGTGAGTGTGAGGGGGGTGGTGAGCGTGAGGGACTGGTCCAACGTCAGTTTGTTTGCTAAAACAATACTGGTTTAATACAGGTATCTGAGTCTAACATTAGCAACATGTTTGACATCACTATATGAGACATCCCATTAACGCCATTCCCAGCTCCTCCTCTGTCGTTAATTAGGGCAATCAGTGCAAGGTTCAGACGCAATGTATAATTTCAGGGTGGGCCAACACTAACTTCTCTTCCTGCTTCACCCACAATTATTCTTTGTACTGTTATATATTTATCGCACCCTCATTTAGATACTTTGCTCCTTTTGACACAGTACTCCTGTCAGGAATATATTACTTTAAATAGTTTTGCCTCACCCGCCACATTTCTACATTCCTGAGGAGGTTCCAGAGATTCAAACAGCCCCAGCGTCGCCATTTGCTTGTGAGGGTGAATGGGGAAGTAGCAATCTGCCCAGCTGAGGTGACCAGGCTTAAATTCCCAGCATCGCTCACTGGGCAGATCAGGAACACAAGCCAAATGACTTCTGTCCAAGGCTGAGCCAGCATAAATTGAATGGGATCTGGAGCCTAGCCTTCTGTGGGTCAGGAGCCAGGGTTCAGCAAGACAGTGATACTCAGAATTAGAACCAGCTATATCAATCAAAGATGGAAGGAATTAATTCTGAACACAATCAACAATAGTTGTAATGTAAACATATTCGAGACAGTTGGTATTCTGTGATGTCTGTCATTACTGGAAATAGCCACAAAGCCAGAAAATGGAGGAAAGAAAAACGCAACTGCATAGATCCAGCTTTGCCTGATAGAAGCCTGGTTCACACCAGAGGCAGGAGTGGCAGCATGAGGAGAGAAAGAGAACAGACATGAGTGAGACAGCAATGACAAAGGACCCAATGCCAGTGACTCAGTGGTTGCACGCTCCAGGCTCTTTCACAGCAATCCATCCCAGCAGAGAAAACAGGCAGTGAGGCAGGGGAAGGCAGTGTGGTTACAATCGCACTGTTAACAGCAGTTGTAATTGCAGCTACAATTCAGGGACAGCTTGTGCAATCTCTCAGTATAAATTAACCCCAAGAATCAAGTCAACATCCAGCACAATCTGACCTGCACTCTCTCCAACATCACTGACAACTTCCAGAGGTGTGGCACCTAGAACTGCACACAAACTCCAGGTGAGCTTTACCCACATCTCAACAGCTAGATCATGACTCAAGCGTCTTGTATTCAGCTCGTCTGATATACAAAGGTTATGAAGTTATAAAGGAGTTGGGATAAACGAAGTACTCTTCTGCAGATGATATCTCAAGTATCATGCAGTCTGCTGCTGTCTCAGTGGATTCTAGGAATGAGAGGTTTCTACAAAAAAAACGCCATACATTTCAACAGGATTGTACTACTGAGTACAACTACACACAGCACACAGTAACCAGCAGTAAATCAGTACTGGCTTACTACTCTGCTTCTGATCCAACCCCTTAAGGCACACAGTAGCCCTCTGTAAATCTGTATTGGATTACTGTGTTTCTGATAGACATGCCTTCTCCCTATAATCCTTGATCCCCTCACTAATCAAGCACCTATCTCTGTCTCTATCAACAACTCAGCCCCTACAGCCTTATGCAGTAATGAGCTCCACATGTCAACCATCCTCTGGCTGAAAAAAAGTCCTCATCATCTCAGGACATTGAGTAAATTTGGGGAAAGAGACAGATTTTTTAAGTAGTAATGGGTTGAAGGGTGATAGAAAGCGGACAGGAAAGTGGAGTTAAGGCTGAGATGAGATTAGCTATGATTGTATTAAATGGTGGATTTGAATGCATTCCCCCAGAATGTTAGCCTGGATCTGACACTGCCACTACATCATCTGTCTAGTGAGGTTATGGATTTCAATAAGACAGACATTGGCTGGAAAATGCGTGACAGAAATCTAATGGTGAGAAGTGTGAAGACATTTGTTTTGGATATAGGAACGAGGAAAGGCAACAGAAAAATATGGAGTATAATTCTAAAGGAGTGCAGAAATAGAAAGAATGGGTGCAGAGGATTTTTTTAGATAATAAAATTTGGGTCAAGAGAAGGAAAATCCAATGGGGTTTTGAGCAAAGAACAACGAGGGAAAGAGTGGAGGGCAACTTCAGTGCAACCAGTCCACGCTGACCATGTTCCCAAACTAAACTAGTCCCATTTACCTGCTCCTGGCCCAAATCCCTCTAATTCATGAACTTATCCAAACGTCTTTTAAATGTTGTAACTGTACCCACATCCACCGCTTCCTCTGGTAGTTTATTCCACACACAAACCACTCTCTGTGGGGGTAAAAATTGTTCCTCATAATTTGTTTGGACCCTGAAGACATGTGCACAGTTCTCAATGAGTACATTCATTGGTCCTCCCAATGGAAAAGGGCAACACAGGTAGACATCAGGAAGGAGGACTACAAAATACTGCAAGAAATTTACATAGCAAGAGAGGCGAACGGGTGGGTTTAGCAGCCTTAAAAGGCTGTGACGTGAGATTGATCCACTGATGGAGGCAAAGGAGGAGATATCAGGGGCCTGGCAGTCATTTTCAGATTCTTCCTAACCACATGTTAGTACCAGAGCACTGTTAAGGTTGTCTCATTATTTAAGAAAAGGGAACAATGGAGAAAGCAAGAAATTACAGGCCAGTCAGTCTAGTAGAAAGCATTTTGAAGGATACAATATACCTACACTTAGAAAGACTCAGATTAATCAGGCCTAGTCAGGATGGATTTGCTAAGCAAAGTTTGTGTTTGGCAAGTTTGATGAAGGTTTTTAAGGAGGTAACCAGGGATGTTGATAAAGGTTTGATGTAAAACCATTTGATGAGGTCTTGATTGACTTCAGCAATACTTTTGATAGGGTCCCTTCTGGTAGAATGGTTATGAAACTAAGAACCCATGGGATCCAAGACAAAGTGCTATGTTGTACCCCAAGATTAGCTGAAAGACAGGAAGCAGAGGGTGACAGTAGAGAGATGTTTCTGTGACTCTACATCTGTTACCACTGGCGCTCTTCAGCACTTGGTGCTGGACCCTTGCTGTTTGTGGTGTACATTAATGAACTGGGTCTGCATGTATTCAGTGGAGGTAGTATATTAGCATGGTTAGAGAACTGGCTCGTGGGCAGGAAACAGTGAATGGGGATAGGGAATTCTTTTTCAGGTTGACAACCTATGATCAGTCAGGTTTCACAGGGATCAGTGCTGGGAAACATCTGTCTACAATGAATATTAATGACTTAGAGGAAAGTCAATGTACTGTAGCTAAATTTGCAGGTGACAAAAAAATCGCTGATAAGGCAAGTTGCAAGACAGATCCAAACAGTTTACAGAGAAATTGATAAGCTAACTAAGTGGGCTAAAAAAGAAGGCAAATGGAGTATACTGTGGGAAATTCTGAAGTTGTTCATTTTGGAAAGGAAGATAAAAGAACAGAATATTATTTAATTGGAGAAATACTGCAGAATGCTGCAACACAAAAAGACTTCAGGATACTTGTGCACTAAACACAGAAAGCTAGCACACAGGTACAGCAGGTAATCAGGAAGGCTAATGGCCTTGTTTCAAGAGGGTTAGAGTCTAAGAGTAGGTAAGTTTTACTCCAACTGTAGAAGGTGCTAGTGAGGCCACTTCTGGAATATAAAGAGTAGTTCTGGTCCCTTATTTAAGAAAAGATATCATTTCACTGGAGGCAATTCAGAAAAGGTTCACCAGAATGATCCAGTCAAGGGATTGGTTTATGAGCAAAAGTTGAACCGGTTGGAGCTTTACTTACTGGAGTTTAGAAGAATGAGAGGTGACCTCATTGAAACATACAGGATTCTTAAGGGGCCTGACAGGGTAGATGCTGAGAGGACGTTTCCCCTCATGGGAGATTCTCGGACCATAGGGCATAGTCTCAGAATTAAAGGGTACCAAATTTAAGACTAAGAAGAGGGATTTCATTTCTGAGGGTTGAATGTCTAGGTGGAACTCCTTGCCACAGAGAGCTGTGAGGGTATAGTCATTGAGTATATTTAATGTTGAGACACATAGATTTTTGATCAGTAGGGGAACCAAGGGTTATGGGGAAAGGGCAGGAAAGTAGACATGAGGAGTCGGCCAAGTTTCTATAGAATGGCAGAGCAGGCTCGAGGGGCCAAACAGCCTACTCCTGTTGCAGATAGCAGGAATTGCCAATGCTGGAGTCGGAGATAACAAGGTGTGGAGCTGGAGGAACACAGCAGGCCAGAATTCTGAAGAAGGGTCCAGACTTGAAATGTCAGCTTTCCAGACTTGAAATGTCAGCTTTCCTGCTCTTCTGATGCTGCCTGGCCTGCTGTGTTGCTCCAGCTCCACACCTTATTATAGCCTACTCCTGTTCCTCTTTCCAATGGCCTTATGGTAGGGCTATGATTAAGCACCTCACAGAAGGTGTGCTGGGGTGATAAGTAATGAGGATAACCATAAACCGCAGGTGGATATCAACAGATTCAGGCAGAGCAGTGCCAAATAGCACACAACCTGAAAATTGTGAGAAGTAATGCACTGGGGTCAGTTAACAAGTCAAGGAATTACATGATGAATGGTCAGACCTGAGATAATACCAATGATCAGAGGGACCTTGTTGTGCATATCCACAGATCCCTGAAGCTAGCAGGGCAGTTAGGTAAAGTGGCAAAGAAGGCATTTTGAATACTTGCTCTCCTATGTTAACGCATAGAATACAAGAATAATCAGTCGTGCTGGAATTATATAAAAAGCTGTTAAGACCATAACTGGAGTACTGCGTGCCATTTGGATCACCTAATTATAGGAAAAGTTGTGACTGGCCTATAGAGGGAGCTGAGGAGATTTACCAGGATGTTGCTTGGTCTGGTGAGTCTGAGTTATGAGGAAAGATTGGATATAAGACTGGGGTTATTTTCGTTGGGGCAGTAAAAGTTGATCAGGGATCTGATAGTGGAGTATAAGGTAATGACCATGTCTTTTTATTTCTGTAGGTTTTAAAATGGTGAGCTAAAATATCTGTTTAAAATGAGTGTTTAAAAGGTTTGATGTATGTTTCAGAAAGCAAGTCACCTGACACCAATGGCCAGCGTCACTTACAGCTGTTTGAACAGATTGTAATTGAAGTGGCTACTGATCAACAAGAGCAAAGAGGACGAGTACAAATGCAACTGGGTAGCAACAAGAAGTTGATTGGTCTATCATCTCGTGACCAGGTGTCAATAGCAAAGATGTTCTGCCTACCAACAGCCATGTGATTGGTTGTTGGATAACTGAGAGGCTTGGAGCTAGAAACAGGCTGCAGGGAAAGGATTTATCTCCACCAGCTCATCTCACAATTCTCTACATTCAAAGCTCTCACTAAATCTGAAGAAAACCAGTTCATCATCCTTTCAGTAATTGCTGTAAGCTGAGACTTTTCAGGTCAGAGGTATTTACATGTCAACGGTCCACTCTCTGCCTTTTGCAAACTACTAGAAGCATTTGGAAAAGGAAAGCTAATTCAGCAGAATCTACGACTACTGAACTGTCTTTCAGCTTTTCCCATCTTTCTGCTGTCTGTCTGGGTGCGTGTATATGGGAGGAGTTCATAAGGGGATTAGTGTTTTAATTTGTTATTTAATATACTGACAGTTTATAACTGTTTACTTGGAGTTAGAGTCTAATTACTTGTAATAAATAGTAATTCTTATTGAATGTAGAAACCTGATCCATGCTTTCTATCAATCAGCATCTGCGAATCAGATAAATTGGGGAATTTTGTGTACTTACTTTGGTGATGACTCTGGGATAGCAGGGCTTGGTTTCCTGCGTGCTACCTCAGTGAGCCATGACAATAAACTATGAGGGCCAGAGAAATGGTGGAAAGGAAAGCACTTTTCCATTAGCACAGTGGTCAATAACCAGGGGTATAGATTGAAGTGAAGATGTAGAAAACTGAGAGGAGAGGTGAAGGGTAAACTTTCCACTCAGAGGGTTGTGGGGGTTTGCGACTTATTCCCTGAAAGGGTGATTTGAGTCAGAAACTTTCCAAACAATCAAGCAGTACTTAGGCAGTCGCTTGTATTGCCATAACCTACAGGACTATGGGCCAAAAGCTAGAAAATATGTAGTTAGATCTTTGTTGACCAGTGCAGACATGAGAGATCAAATGGCCTTCCTTGTTCTGTAAATGTTTAAGAGAATGATGGTGTTTCCTGCCATATCATCCCAATGAGTCAGCAAGGAACAGGATCATTGATACTGGCTGCACTACCAAGCCAGAGAAAATATGGAGAATCTTTACAAATCACTGCTTCAGCCTTACCTGCAGTATTCCAGCCAAATCTAGATAACATTGTGTTATTGTCGTTAGAAATAAGGCCCAGGTAAAGTTCTGGGGACCTGGGTTCAAATGTCACCATGGCAGATTGTGAAATTTGAGTTCAATAAACAAATCTGGAATTAAGAGTCGAACTATGACCATGAAATTATTGTCAAAAAAACCTAATGTCACGATTGTCCCTTAGGGAAGGAAATCTGCCATCCTCACCTGGTCTGGCCTACTTGCAACTCCAGACCCTCAACAATGTGGCTGACTCTTAACTGCCCTCTGGGGCAGTGTCCGGAGCAAACGGAAGGTTGGGGAAGCACTACTGTGGATTCACTTTGGAGTACGTGAACTAGAAAACCGCACAGTCTGTCAACTAGGGATGGGCAAGAAATGCTGGCCTAACCAGCAACACCAACATCCCATCAATGAATGAGAAAACAAAGAATCTGGACATTACCCTTTTGGAAGAAGGGAAAAGGCATTTGAGAGGATACAGAAAAAATTCCAGAGGTGAGGGACTTCAGTTAAAGGACTGACTGGAGAAAATCAGGTAGTTCCCTTTGGAGAGGAAATCTGATAGAGATGTCCCGAGTGGATAAGGAGAACCTGCTCCCACTGGGGAGGAGGTAGGGTCAAGAACCAGCGGTATAAATCAAAACATATTGGTACAAGGGCCAGCAGTGGCATGAGGAATATGTACGGTTACAATCTAGAATGCACCGCCTGAAAGGAGGCAGATTTAACTGTGACTTTGAAAGTGAACTGACAAGGCACATAAAGAGAGACAAAAAATTGCATAGAGTTGCGGGGAGAAGGCACAGAACATGGAATAGTATGTTGCTAGGAAACTTCAGTAAATGAGTTACAGAAAAATGAAGGATATGCTAAAAGACTGGGATGAGATCGGTAAAATGGGAAGAGATACACTGAGCATAATACTAGCACAGAATAGTTAGACCAAATTTCCTGCTTCTGTGCTACACGTTCAATATAACTTCTCAAATTGGACATGTATTTGAAGGGGACTAGTTTTCCAAGTCATTGGAAAGGTGGGGATGACAAAGTGGACAAATCTGTCAAAGAGCCAGTACATTTGATGGGCCGAGTGGCCTCCTTCCATGCAGTAAAATTCTATTCTGTGGTATTTTAGGATGTCCTGCTGCTGTGAAAGGCACAGTTATAAAAGCAAGTCTCTTTTTATTCTTTAACCTGGTATCAGAGTATCATTAACACAGTTGGAGATCTGGGACATTACACATTCAATCTATTAAACAACGGAAAACCTGCACTCAACAACAAACTCAAAAAAATTCTCTGATACATTGTTCACATCAACTTTTTTAACATTACCTCACACTAAGAATTTTTTCTGGGCAATGTAACAGTGTAAACGTAAGTACCAGTTAAATGGAAAACACTTTTAAGATATCAGACTGGCATTACATCACAAAACAATACCAATTAATTTACATGATAAAGACTGTCTGAATAACAATAGTGAATTATAACAGTATTATACAATGCATTACATTCCAAGTTACAATACTATAGTGTGCTTACTGATGTTGATGGAGCCTTTCTGGCACTCAAACACTGTTGGTGCTGTGCAATCGCTGTTATGAAAATCAAAGACTGGTATCCCTACAGATAGTGAACTGCATTGACATAGTTACTCACCAGGGCATGCAACTTGTCCTCCAGCTCCTGGTTAGTTCGTTGTGATGCAGTGTAACTATTCTGCAATCTACGTGGGCAGAAGAAAGAATTCACATCAAATTTTACAGTGGATCACTGACGAACAGATCCCATGCCTAGAATCTGGCATCCTGGAGATCAGGGCGATGAAGAGCTTGGAATTCCCACCAGTTAACAAGCAGCTGAGTGGCTGGAGCAAGTGGATGGTTGGGAAAGCACTGCAGTGGATTGATCTTTGAATATGTGAACTAGAAAACCACAGTGTGTCGGAAAAAAGATTCGGGAGTTCAGTGCTCAAGTGTTAAGCAGTTCTGGGATACACAAACTGAAGGCTTTGGCCAAGAGCTGCAGGGAGAGGCATGATGAACAGCTTTGTAGGACAGCCAGAGGGAATAACTGGGAATCACTATCTTTAAGTGTTCTGCAGTGAAGATAAAGGAGGATATCAGATGGACAATTCAGGGAAATATACCACTGACAGACAGAAATACTCCAGAATTGAAACTGACTGGATAGCTCTCACAAGGATCAGCATGCAAATTTCTAAATATCCTTTCACAAGACATAGTGATCGCAGGCTGGGCCAGCATAACTTGTCCATCCCTAATTGCCCTGGGAAAGGTGTGGCGAGCTGCCTTCTTGAACCATATGCTGTAGATAAACCCACAATGTTGCTGGGAAGGAAATGCTAGGATTTTGACACAGTGGCGGTGAAGGGACAGCAATATATTTCCAAGTCAGGATAGCGAGTGGCTTGGAGGGGAACTTGCATGTGTTGGCGTTCCCATGTATCTGCTGCCCCTAGTCCTTCAAGATGGAAGTGGTCACGGGTTTGGAAAGTGTTGTCTAAACAGTGTTGGGGAGTTTCTGCAGCGCACTTTATAAATGGTACACACTGATGCTAATGCGCATCGAAGGTAGAGGGACTGGATGTTTGTGGCTGGTTTATTCCGGATGGTGTCAAGCTTCCTGAGTGTTGTTGTAGCTGCACCCATTCAGGAAATGGGAGTACTCCATCACACACCCAGAGATGGTGGACAGGCTTTGGGGAGTCAGGAGGGGAACCACTGACCGAGGATCCATAATCCCTGATCTGCTCCCATAGCCACTGTATTTATAGAGCTGGTACAAGTTCAGTTTCTGGTCAATAGTAACCCACAGAATGTTGACTGTGGGGGATTTGGTGACGGTAATGTCACTGAATATCAAGGGGTGACGGTTAGATTGTATTTTGTTGGAGGTAGTCATCGCTTGCCATTTGCAAGGTACGTTAGGCTGACAAGTAGCAAGTAAAGCTAGATACTGCCCAGGTCTCGCTGCATTTGGATATGCACTGTTTCAGTACCTCAGGAGTCATGCATGGTGGTGGATATTGTGCAATCATCCAAGAACATCCCCACTTCTGACCTTATGATAGAGGGAAGGCCATTTATGAAACATCTGAAGATGGCTGGGCCTAGGATACTATCCTGACAAACTCCTGTCGTGACGTCCTGGAGCTGAGATACCTGAGCTCTAACAACCACAACCATCTTCCTATGTACCAGGTATGGTCCCAGTTAGGGAACATGAATTTGGAGCACCGGGGAATCCACTAAAAGCAAGGTTTCCACCCACCCTTATCGTGTTCAGAGGAATGATTTAATTTGGACATAGCGTTGTCAGAAGGGGTGGCCAGGAAACAGACTGGGGCTCGCTAAATTGGGAGAAAAGCTTGACTAATTTGGCATTTTGATCAAAACAGGCGAAATACTGATAACTCTGGAAATCAGAGATAAAAGCAGAAAATTCTGGTAAACAGAGTGGTTAAGAAGGTGTTTAGCACGCTTGCCTTCATTGCTCAGAACTTTGAGTGTAGGAGTTGTGATGTCATATTGAGGCTGTACAGGATGTTGGTGAGGTCACTTCTGAAATACTGTGTCCAGTTCAGGTCACTCTGCTATAGGAAAGATATTATTAAATTGGAGAGGGTTCAGAAAAGATTTACCAGGATGTTGCCGGGAATAGAGGTCTTTAGTTATAAGGAGAGGCTGGGACATTTTTCACTGGAGCATAGGAGATTGAGGGGTGAGAGGTTTATAAACTCACAAGGGGCACAGATAAGGTGAATAGCAAAGGTCTTTTCCTTAGGATCAGGAAGTTCAAAACTCCGGGGCATATTTTTAAAGTGAGAGGATAAAGATTTTAAAGGGACCTGACGGGCAACTTTTTCACACGAAGGATGGCTTATATGTGGAATGAACTATCAGAAGAAGTGTTAGATGCAGGTACAGTTACAATATTTAAAAGACATTTGGGCAGGTACATGGACAGGAAAGTTTAAGAGTGATATGGGGTAAACACAGGCAAATGGGACTAGTTTAGTTTGGGAACATGGTCGGCATGGATGAGTTGGACCGAAGGGTCTGTTTATGTGCTGTATGACTCTATGACACCAACCAGCAGAAGTCTTTCCCAAGATTCAGACTGACACCAGTTTTGCTGGGGTCCTTGATTCCACACTGTGAAATGTAGCCTCAGTCTCAAAGGCAATCACTTTCACCGTACCTCTGGAATCCAATTCTCTGCCCATGTTTGAATTAGGGCTATAATCAAGATTAGGAGCTGAGGGAACGGCCCTGGCAGAGCCCAAACTGAATGTGTGAAGCAAGTTATTGCTGAACAAGTGTTGCTTTATGCTGCTGCTAATAACTCCTTCCATTTGCTTCAGATTAATGTTTATCGAGCTGGAGGAGTTCATAGAACTATGAAGCAGTCAGCCTGAAATGACAGACTTTTCCAGTATTTTGGTTCTGTTTAATTCTCTAATGTGGGGATTAGTACTAGAGCCTTTTTCTGAGATGGCTGCACTCACTGATGAATGAGTGAACTCAAATGGAAGGAGGAAAATATTAAAATCTTCCACAAAAATCTTAGCAAATAATATAGCAGAAAAATAAACTAATTATGTTTTCCATCTGAAACAGTACATCTGAGGACGAAGTCCCATCAAGATTGCAGGTGGGTGTTGTTATACAGGATGACAAAAATATACTGCAAAACACATTGAGTGAAGCTGCAGCAAACATTCCTTTAATTACCAACAAATTGGATCGTCTGTATAACCAGCCTGATCTTGTTAAAGTAACTCCACCAAAAAAATCTAACCACCTTTTATTACTCTCAACTCTGCAATAATCATGCACACCCCTTAATCTAATATTAAGCAAACAACACATTGCTCAAAAGCAGAAGTTTGAACAATAGATAATCACACTGAAATAGCTTAATAATGTGTTTCATTCTAGATACGTACAGAGCAATGAGTGAAAGGTTTTACAAAGACATTGTGGAGCACCACCAGATGAAGCTGCTGACCTGCGGAATTTGTCCTTCAGTTTGTCCATTTCTTCTCTGGCATAGCTCAGCTCTGCTTCAAGGTACTGGCGGCTGGATTCAAAATCTCTTTCCATAACCTCCAACTTGTTTGTGCTGAGAGTCAGCTTTTCACGCAGATCCTGATTCTGCTGCTGCAATTGTCTATTTTTAAACAAAGATTACACAGCATTTAAAGGGACTTATTTGAAAATATTCATGGCATCCACAAGAAGCATTGCTTCTCAGGATACAGCAGAACACTGTTCATTTGAGAGGAGAGCGAGCGGGCAGTTTAATGGATAAGGAAGCTAGGACAACCTGAAATATGATGCAGGTTCAAAGTCAATTAGTCAGAGGGAAGATTGGGATTTTTGGAAGAAGGAAATGGGATGAGAGAAACAGAAGGACAGAAGCAATTTCAATACATGACCAAGGCCCACGTGAACTGCAAGTTGCGCTTATACACACTGAAGCAAACCAAATTCACTACTACTTTATAATTACCGCATTGATCACTGGAGATCATGTGGGATAGAAATCATTATTCAAATTCCATATAATCACAGAATCATACAGCACAGAAAAAGATCCCTCGTTCCAACTAGTCCATGCTATGTTCCCAAACTAAACTAGACCAAAATGCCTGTTCTGAGGAAGGGTCACCAGACCCTAAATGTTAACTGTGTTTTTTCCTTCACAGATGCTGCCAGACCCCCTGAGCTTTCCCAGCAACTTTGTTTTTGTTCCAAACTGCCTGTATTTGGTCCATATCCCTCCAAACGTTTCGTATTCATGTACTTATCCAAATGTCTTCTAGACATTGTAACTGTACCTGCATCCTCCATTTCCTCTGGCAGTTCATTCCGTACACGACACACCTTGTGTAAAGAAGTTGCCCCGCATGTCCTTTTTAAATCTTTCTCTTCTCACTTTAAAAATATTCCCCCTAGTTTTGAACTCCCCTACCTTAGGGAAAACACCTTTGCTATTCACCTTATTTAATGCCCCTCATGATTTTATTAATGTCTATAAAGTCACCCCTCAACCTCCTACACTCCAATAAAAAAAAGTCCCAGCCTATTTTTTTAACTCAAACTTTCCATTCCTGGCAATATCCTGGTAAATCTTTTCTGAACCCTCTCCAGTTTAATAATATCATTCTTACAGGAGGGCGACCAAAACTGTACAGAGTACTCCAAAACTGGCCTCATCAACTTCTTGTACAACCTCAATATGACGCCCCAACTCCCATACACAAAGGTCCGAGCAATGAAGGCAAGCATGCTAAACACCTTCTTAGCCACATTGTCTACCTCTGACGCAACTTCCAAAGAATTATGTACCTGAACGCCTAGGTCTCTCTGTTCTACGACACTTCCCAGGGCACTACCATTAACTATATAAATCCTACCCTTCTTTGTATTACCAAAATGCAATACCTTGCATTTATTCACATTAAACTCCATCTGTCACTCCTCAGCCCATCGACCCAACATCAAGATCTCTTTGTAATCTTAGATGGCCTTCTTCACTGTCCACTGTACCACCAATTCTGGTTTCGTTCACAAACTTACTAAGCATGCCTCCTATATTCTCATCCAAATCATTTATATAAATGACAAACAAAAGTGGACCCCGTTCCGATCCCTGTGGAACACTGCTGGTCACAGGCATCCAGCCTAAAAAATCAACCCTCCACCACTACCCTGTGTCTCCTACTGTATCCAATTGGCAAGTTCACTCTGGCTCCCATGTAATCTAACATTACTGATTAGTTTACGATTGGAACGTTAGCAAAGAAATATGAAAAAATACAAACCATGAGGCACATTTATTGTTAGGGTAAATAAATAACAATCTAAACACAGTAAAATATTTAAAGCTCAACAATGTAATCCAACAGCAGTTAAAACAATGTGTACAATGTTTTCTTCGCCTGGATGAGTTTCAGATTCACAAAAAATCAGATTTCTAGCCAGAGCAAAAAACAAAACAGATAGAATTGAAAACAGAAATTATGGCTAAGCTTTGACAGAACCTTGAAGAGACCACACTTAGACAGTGAAACATTGTAATTTCGAGATTGTTGGAAAACTATTCAGGAACTACAGGTGCTGCAAAAAAGCATCTGCCAAGATGGTAAAGGACCTGAGAGACATAATCTTCAGATTGAAGAGTTTCAGGTTCTTTCTCAACTAAAGTAAGGTTTGGGCGGGGGGGTGCGGTGGTGGGGGTTGTGGGTTGTGACTTTTAGGTCTTTATTGATCGTAGTTGTCTTTTCCCTAAGATGGGGAATTTCAAGATTAGAGGGCACAATTTTAGGGTGAGAGGAGACATTTAAAAAAAGACGAGGGGCATTTTTTTTAACACAGAGGGTAATTCCCATGTGGAATGAACTTCCCAACGAAGTGGTAGATATGGGTACAATTACAATGTTCAGAAGATATTGGGATGGATATGGGCCAGGAGCAGGCTGGTGGTACCAGTTTAGTTTGGGATTATGTTCAGCATGGACTGATTGGATCGAAGGGTCTGTTTCTGTGCTGCGTGACTCTATGAATGTTACAGCCAGCCCCAGCTGCTCTGGCTCCCCGCAGGATTCCACATTACATTCTGCAAAAGATTCAGCCCAACAACAAAAAGCTCAGATTCTGAGAGGATTCACCCATCCTTGTTTCACAGATGATTGCACCATGGGGGTATTTTTCCTGTCTCTATAATGCCACCTCTGCAAAGCCAAATGTCTCATCTCGTCTATATATGAATGTGTGTATGTGTGTTTAAAGGGATTTAGTTTAAGTTGGTGTAGTAGTAGTTAATTGTTTATTTTGCCACTTGTTAACAACAAAGTTTTCTCATAATAAGTTATTTAGTGTGTATATTGAGGAAATCTAGTGGATCTGTTTTGACTTAGACAACAGTGAAACAATTTAATTATCTTGGTGGTTCATTTGAATACTGACATTGTTGGGAAGTCTCATTGAGCAGTGAGGTGTCATGGCCAGTGCAGTCCTCCTGCCTGAGTTGCAATAACCCTCACATTTAATTGTTATTTTTATCAGGCAACTCAAGGCATGTCATATTCATAAATGACTCAGAGATAGCAAGAACTGCGGATGCTGGAGTCAGAGACAACACCGGGTGTGTCAGGTCAGGGAGGTGGGGACAGAGTGAGGTCGGGGGTGGAGAGATTTAAAAACTGGTCAATTCCATGTTTAGGCCAATAGGCTGTAGGCTCCCGAGGCAGAATATGAGCTGTTGTTCCTAGCACCAAACCATTGTCTCTCAGACCAATCATAACCTCATCACCTCCCACCCACAGCCTCCAACTTCATCGTTCCACAACCCCGCACCGCCCATTTCCATCTCCTTCCCAAAATCCACAAACCTGACTGCCCCAGCCAATTCATTGTCTCTGCCTGCTCCTGACCCACTGAACTCATCTCCGCTTACCTTGACTATCTTTTCGCCCCGGTCCAGGAGCTCCCCACCTTCATCCGGGACACCATCCACGTCCTCGACCTCCTCCAAGACTTCCAATTCCCTGGCCCCCAACTCCTCATCCTCACTATGGACATCCAATCCCTGTACACTTGTAATCCCCATGCAGATGGCCTTAAACGCGCTCCCCTTCTTCCTCTCCCACAGGCCTGACAAGTCCCCCTCCAGTGACACCCTCATCGGCTCAACAGAACTTGTCCTTACCCTGAGATAGTAGGAACTGCAGATGCTGGAGAATCCGAGACAACAAGGCGCAGGGCTGGATGAACACAGCAGGCCAAGCAGCATCATAGGAGCAGAGAGGCTGACGTTTCGGGCCTAGACCCTTCATCAGAAAAGGGGGAGGGGAAGGGGGTTTTGAAATAAATAGGGAGAGAGTGGGAGGCGGATAGAAGAGGGATAGAGGAGAGGATAGGTGGAGAGGAAACAAACAGGTCGAAGAGGCGGGGATGGGGCCAGGAAAGGTGAGTGTAGGTAGGGAGTTAGGAAGGGGATAGGTCAGTCCAGGGAGGACGGACAGGTCAAGGGGGCGGGATGGGGAAAACCCCCTTCCCCTCCCCCTTTTCTGATGAAGGGTCTAGGCCCGAAACGTCAGCCTCTCTGCTCCTATGATGCTGCTTGGCCTGCTGTGTTCATCCAGCCCTGCACCTTGTTGTCCTTACCCTGAACAGCTTCTCCTTTAACTCCTCCCACTTCCTACAGACTAAGAGGGTGGCCATGGGCACCAGCATGGGCCCAAGTTATGCCTGCCTCTTCATAGATGTCGAACAGTCCCTTTTCCGCTGTTACACTAGTACTGCTCCCACGAGGAGCTTGAACAGTTCATCAACTTTACCAACACCTTTGACCCAAACCTCAAATTCACCTGGACCATCTTCCATCTCCATTTCTGGTGGCTGCCTCAAAACCGACATCTATTTCAAGTCCACCAACTCCCACAGCTACGTGGACTACCCCTCCTCTCACCCACTTTCCTGCAAGAATGCGATCCTCTACTCCCAATTCCTCCATCTCCACTGCGTCGGCTCCCAAGATGGGGCGTTCCACTCCCGAACATCCCGGATGTCCTCTTATTTCATGGACAATAACGTCCCGTCTCTGGTGATCAAATATGCCCTTAACTGCATCTCTTGCGTTTCCTGCACTTCTGCCCTCACAGCCCCTCTCCCCCAACAAAAACAAAGACATAATCCCCCTTGTCCTCATGTATCACCCCACCAACTTCCGCATCCAACATATCATTCTCCGCCACCTACAATCCGACCCCACAACCAAAGAGATATTTCCCTACCCACCTCTATCTGCCTTTCATAGGGACCATGCTCTCCACCACTCCCTCATCCGCTCCACACTCCCCAATAGCCCCACCACACCCGGCACCTTTCCCTGCATCCACAAGAGATGCTACACCTGCCCCTACACCTACCCCCCTCACCTCCATCCAAGGCCCAAAACAAACCTTTCATATCAGACAGGGGTTCACCTGCACATCCGTCAACATGGTCTACTGTATCCGCTGCTCCCGATGTGGCCTCCTCTACATCGGTGAGACCAAGCATAGACTTGGAGATCGTTTCATACAGCATCTGCGCTCTGTACACAATGAACGACAACACCTTCCAGTCGCCAACCATTTTAACTCCCCCTCCCACTGCCTGGGTGACATATCCATTCTGGGCCTCCTCCAGTGCCACGATGTCACCATACGCAAATTGGAGGAGCAACACCTCTGCCTCGGGAGCCTAAAGGCTGATGGCCTAAACTTGGAATTCAACAGTTTTAAAATCTCCCCATCCCTGACCTCATCACTCAACCCTCCACCCTCCTATTCATCCCCGCCACCATGACCTGACACAACCTGTCCATTTTCTCGCCCACCTGTCCGCCCCACCCACCTCACTGATCAATCTCCACCGCTCCCTACCTGCACTCACCTATCACCATCCCACCTACCTTCCCCAGCCCCACCCCCATCTCTCTATTTATTTCCCAGCTCCCTTCCCCCTCCCCACTTCTGAAGAAGGGTCCCGACCCAAAATGTCAACTTTCCTGCTCCTCTGATGCTGCCTGGCCTGCTGTGTTCCTCCAGCTCAACACTGTGTTGTCTCATATTCATAAATGTTTACATATAAACTCTATTCAGCAAGTGCACTGTATTTTCAAAACGAATAGGAAAATTCATGCAAAGATGGACACTACACTCCCCAAAATGACTGCTTGAAAGTGAGGTTTGTGGTTTCTGTACACACAAGGTTTAACTTGCATCTGAACGTGCTTCTGGCAAGTTATTAAAATACAATATCCAATGGTGGAGGACATTCCATTCAAAACTGCTCAAGGAATTTACATCAATTTAATTGGCATTCCAGTCTTATTCTTTCCCTTCCTAAAGACTGACATGAACAAGTGTGCATAGCCACCATTCATCCTGCCAACTGTAGCAGTGGCTTCCACCTTTGAATAATTTGCAACGGGCAGAAGTATCAACCATGTGGTTACGGAATCAAAACGAAAATCCCAGAACTGCCTCCCTCACAGCCCTGTGATGTCCCTATGTCACATGGAATTTCTTGATTCTTTTATGAGATGTGGATGTCACAAACAAGGCCAATATGTCTTCTCCAGGGCAACTGGGGATTGGCAATAAATGCTGGGGCTGTCAGTGAGGCCAATGCCCTGCAAACAAATAAAAATATCTCAAGGATCGGTCAGGGTCAAGCCAGTCTGGAGACACAAAAGGAAAGGTGCCCAACCCACCCAGTGAACCTCGGTGGCAAGAGGGACAAATTGTCTTCACGCCCGAGGATTAGTCTCGACAGAAACTCAGCCAAAACTCAGTCCACAACCCAGAAATATGCAACGCCCATTTTAATCTTCAGAGAATTACAAAATAAGCCATTTGGGTGACAAAGTGGTCTCCTAAATTCCTAACTTCAACAGTTGACTTCCTTCTTGCTGTTTTGATCACCTAAATTCATGCACTGACTCAAGATTTATGCCCACGTACAGTTTAGAAAGCAAGTGTTGCTGATTGGATTTAAATTTCAGGATGTTGTGTAAATAAACATTTATCCTTTATTCTGATTTAAACTTGGCAGACAGCTTGTATTCTCTCTATTATTAAAAGTTACAACACTGGAAGGGCTTAAAATACTCCCTTTAAATATACATTTTGTTGCAACCAAGAGGCCAGGGTAAAGGGGATCATTCATCCCATCACCACCTCCCTCTAACTTTAAACCTATGAAGGTTGCACATCACAGGATCTTAGGAGTCTGCCCCAGATAGGTGTGTATACATATTCAAAATAGTTTCCAAAATTATTAATCTCTAAGACAAAGTGGAGGGCAATGGAAAGAGGGATCAGCTAGATATAGTTGAATGATAAATGTCACAATGTGGTTGCAGATGAGCTCCAATGGATGAGAGAGAACAACTGGGGTCAGATCACAGTAACATAGCTTGACAGCATATCCTCTGACACAAACAGCTTGAAGCAGCAGCAGCACATGTAATTGAGGATAATGAGATTGCATTGGGAGGTGGAATGTAGGTCAGCCATAATGTTATTGAATGTCCAAATATCCCACTCTTTATGATGTCACAAGATTTGAATTTTCTAATGGATGCCAAACGAATAAAATCAGATCATTTTTCCTTCTGTTTGTGATAAAGGCAACCTTAGAAATAATGCGCGTATTGATTACAAGTGGCTAATTCAGAGAAATCCAAAGTGCCAGATGGACTTTAAGAAAGTAGACCTTATATAGTCAATGTCCTATTCAAAAGGCAAAACAGTTTTAATAATTCACACTTTCTCTTCTATTTCAGGTACCTTATACCTAGCCTTCATTCATAAATTAGCAGGGATTGGCTGAGTGGAATCAACTGCTGGTCCTGGACTCATCTGCACCACAACCGTCAGTTGTCAGGCACAGGCTGGTGACTTGCACTAAAACCTTTCCTGCTTGGTCTGAAACTCCATGAAATATTTGTAAATCAGGAGCATAATGGTCATATCACTAGACAAGTAATCTAGAGACCCAGGGAAATGGTGTGGGGACACAAGTACAAATCCCACTGAGGCAGCTACTGAAACTACATTTCGATTGAAAGAAAGATGCTAAAGGTGAGCATGACATTTATAATTGGTCACTGTAAAAGCCCATCTATTCTAAGAAAGGGAATCTGCCATCCTTACCCAATCTAGGGGAAGGCAGCAGTAGCCAGGTACATGGCACCGTGGCTGGCTCTGCTGTACAGAAGGGCGGGAAAAAGTGGAAGGGCTATAGTCATAGGGGGTTCGATTGTAAGGGGAGTAGATAGGCGGTTCTGCGGTCGAAAACAAGACTCCCGAATGGTATCAGAGATAGTCGGAACTGCAGATGCTGGAGAATCTGAGATAACAAGGGTGTAGAGCTGGATGAACACAGCAGGCCAAGCAGCATCAGAGGAGCAGGAAGGCTGACGTTTCGGGCCTAGACCCTGCTTCAGAAATGG